GTATCTGAATCTATCAGACTTTGAACTGTTAAATTAATATTCAACAGAGAATGAAGAGCAAGAGCTCTTCTTGGCTTTTCATCAAAAATCCAGTCATCTATCCATACATTAGTATTTGCACCATTGCCAATAACTCTTTTCAAACCTTCTTTAAGTAAACTTCGACCATGGAGAATGCTTCTCCAAGCATATGACGGTCTAGTTCCAAAAGGAGCATTTAGAAAATCTGAATTTTGAAAGTACCTGCTTTTGAAGACTTTAAAAAACAGACTATCCTTTTCATGAAGCAATCTCCAAGCCTGCTTAGCCAACAAAGCCTGATTAAAGCTTTGTAGATCCCTGAAACCAATTCCTCCAAGCATTTTAGGCATAGTGAGTTTTTGCCAACTTAACCAATGGATTTTCCTTGTATCCTGAAGATTGTTCCACCAGAAATTCATCATAATACTTGTTAAGCTTTTACAGAGACTAACAGGTAGCTTGAAGCATGTCATTGCATAGACAGGTAAAGCCATTGCTATTGATTTCAGCAAGATTTCTTTTCCGCCTTGTGATAGTGTTTTTGCAAACCAGCTTGACATTCTAGTTTGAAGCCTGTCTTTAATAAAGCCTAGAAGTTGTTGCTTGGATCCACTCAAACATTCTGGAAGACCTAAATATTTTCCTGTGCCTCCTTCAGTCTTAATACCAGATCTCATCTTGACCCAATTTTTGATTTCTGGATTAACATTGATTCCAAAAGTGATTGCTGACTTATCCAAATTTATCATTTGACCTGATAAACGCTCATATTTAGATAAGCAGAGCAAGATCTCTTCACATTCTTCTTTATTAGCTTTACACATTAAGAGTGTATCATCAGCAAAGAGAATATGATTGATAGATGGACCTGCATTATTGAATTGGATTCCTTCAACTTTATTTTCTCTTTTTGCTTGCTCAAGGAGATGAATCAAAGCTTCTGTACACAACACAAAGAGAAAGGGAGATAGGGGATCTCCTTGACGAATGCCTCTTTCAGGTTTGATAAAGCCATAAGGAGTTCCATTTATCAAAACTGAGTAAGTCACTGAAGATACACAACCCATGATCCATGAAATCCACTTTGAATCAAAACCTAAGGCAGTGAGAATTCCTTCAAGAAAAGTCCATTCTACTCTATCAAAAGCCTTAGACATATCTGTTTTAAAGACCATAAAATCCGTAGATATCTTCTCATTTGTCTTCAAACTATGCATTATTTCATGAGCAATCAGGATGTTATCAGAGACTAACCTCTTTTCCACGTAAGCTGATTGAGTTGATGATACAATGTAAGGGAGTTGGCTTTTAAGTCGGCTAGAAAGGATTTTTGAGATAATTTTATATAGAACAGAACAAAGGCTTATTGGTCTAACCTCAGTCATCTTCGTAGGATTTGGAATCTTTGGAATGAGGCAAATATGAGTATGATTCCATTCTTGAGGGAGCACACCTGTTTTGAAGAAACCCTGTATTTCTGAGATAACCTGAGTCTTCACCAGAGACCAATATTTCTGAAAAAAGAGAGCTGTAAAACCATCTGGACCAGGAGCACTTTCACTGTTTATTGAAAAAACTGCTCTGTAGATCTCTTGTTCTGTGACTTCTTTTGTCAATTTTGAATTCATTGAAGCTGAAACTCTAGGCTGCAAGTCTCCTAAGTAGTCATTCACATTGCAGGGATTTGACGACTGAAAGAGCTTTTCAAAGAAACTTGAGGCTAGCTGACCTTTCTCTCTATTGAGAGAATGTTCTATTCCATTGTCATCCATTAGAACATTCAAGGCATTTCTAACTCTCTTGGATTTAACAGCTGCGTGAAAGAATTCTGTGTTTTTATCTCCATCCAGTAGCCATTTTTCTGAACTTTTTTGTCTCCAGAAACTTTCTTCTTCATGAAAAGCAATACCTAATTGCTCCTTAAGCATCCTTATTCTCTCCCAATCAGGGAATTGAAGACTCATCTGATAGTCTAATTCTTTCCTTAATCTCTGAATTTTATTTTTAGCATTGTATTCAGAGGACTGTTTCCAATCATGAATAACTCTTCTACATTGAGCTATGCTAAAAATAGAAGAATGCTTACCTTTGGAAATTTCACTGTTCCAGGAACTGTGAATAGCATTCCAGAGCAAAGGATTATCAGCCATTCTTTTATCAAAACGAAACTGTCCTCTAAAAAGCTCTTGATCTTTAATAAATTTCACTAGAACAGGACGATGATCTGATCCAAGCTTTTCGAGAAACCATTGATGAGAATTGGGAAACATTGAAAACCAAGCTGAGTTTCCAAAACTTCTATCAAGCTTGCATTGAATCCATTGATAATTTCTTTTCCCTCCCCATGTAAAACTGTTTCCAGTACTGCCTAATTCATGCATATCACAAGTATTCAACATGTCTTTAAAAGGTCTAAAAGAAGATAGCAATCTTAAAGGACCACCTAACTTATCTTTATTAGACAGCATATCATTGAAGTCTCCTATCATACACCAAGGCTCTTTTCTATTTACACCAAAAGCACTAATTCTGTCCCAAAGTAGAGAACGAGGCTTCAACACTGGATTTCCATAGACACAAGATACAAACCATCTTTTTTTACCTTTGGTGATTTGCATATCAAGAAGGTTTTTGTCAGCCACCAAAAAGTTAATATCCAGTTGATCTTTCCAAAAGATTGCCAATCCTCCACTCATACCTTCTGGTTCTACCGTATGAAATTTATCATAGCCTAACCAAGAAAAAACTTTTAAAACAAAAGCGTCAGAATTTTTTGTTTCCATGAGGAATAGTATGTCTGGGAAATGATCCTTTTTCATTCCCTTTAGATTACGAATTGTCCAGGGATTCCTCAACCCTTGACAATTCCAGCTTAAGATGCCTTACTGATATAACGGTGGTTCATCAGGAACCACCGTAGAGTTATCTGTCTTGAGACTTTTTGAAGCTTGAGATTCTTGTATCTGAGTTTTTCTCTTAAAGACTTTATTAAACTGAGGTTGTTTTTCAGACATACTAACCTTCTTTACTTCTGATAAAACTGATTTAGCTTGCTGAGTTTTTGAAATTGGAGCTTTCCGTTTTCGAGGATTCTTCTGTCTCAGACTTAAACCTGAGGAACCAGCATCAGAAGAACCTTCCTTTAAGCCTTTAAAGAAATCAGAATCTTGAAAATCCGAAAAGGATTCATCATCATTAAGTTTTAGAAGTAGAAGCTGTTTTTGGGATGAAGCTTCTTTCATGGCATCAGCTAATAACTTGGGAGAGTTCTGATTTGAAATCGGATTTGCACTATCCGGAATCAACAAACCTTTCTGCTTATCTTTGTTTTCAGGTGTGGGAGATGATACTGAAACATCATCTGGCTTTAAGAACGGACACATATTCTTTTCATGTGTTAACCTTTGGCAATGAAAACAACGTTTTCGAATCCTCTCATAATCAAAACTGATTAAGACTATCTCCCCTGTAGGAAGCTGCAGTTCTTTAGAGTTCCTTAGAGGATTGCGAACATCCAGAAGAACATTCACTCTCACATAGTCTTGAGCTTGTGATTTTTCAGGATCAAAAAGGACTTGAATTACCTCTCCGGCACACTTTGCAATTGCTCTGATAGTTTCCTCTGTGTAATAGTTGACTGGAATGTTTCGGAGACGAATCCAGATTGACAAAAACATCAAGTAATCAGGTGGAGGTCTTTCTATCCATCTTTCCATTACCACACACCAGTCATCTTGAGTCCAAACGCCTGTCTTTAAGATTTCAGTTAAGTCACCTTCAGATTTGAAAATAAACTGAAACCTTTCTTGAGATAAAGCCACTCCATGAACCCTATTATTTAACCTCCAAATTCTGGGCATGTCTAAAATCCAGTTAGACATCCGTTGATTAGTAGGATTCAGAAATCGACCCATAATACTGCAGTGATTCTTCTCAGTAGAGCAGAACTTAGCTTGATTTGGGAGAACGAGGGGTTTATCATCTGAAATTGACATCTTTTGTATAGCTATGTTGAGATCCATGTCCATACTCAAGAAGAGAACACAAAGATACTTTGATTCACAGAGAACCTGAAGCACTTTGTATAATCCTGTAAGCAATAAGGAGAGTACCAGACTTGACAGCTACTGAACCGAAGAAAAACCAATTAGATTAGAACTGGAGTCAATTGCGAAAGGAGAGAACTTTGGAACAACACAATGGTTTGACAATTGAAGATTAAGACAATCTTCAAGAGAGAACCAATATCAGATTCCAGAAGCTGTGATGATATATCCGAAAAGAAAAATCTAGCACCGGACTGAAAACGAGGAAATCTCCGGTCTAAAGCTCCGCTCAGAAAGAGATCTTACTGAGGAAGAAGTTCTTATGCCCAAGTGGAATCGGGACGGCAAGGAAAAACAGCTGCGATGAAATCGTCAGAAAACACCTACTAAGAGAGAGGAGAGAGCTTTCCTCAACGGCTAGGAAAGAGTTTCAAATCTTTTATTGGTATCTTCGTTAAACCTACCAAAACAAGACAATGTGTAACATTGAGGCAACATGTGATAAGTACATTGGTACTACACTATTATGAAGCTAATATTAGTAATAAAGCCATTTATCAACCAAAAAAAAAAAACATGTTCTTCTGTTTTATTTTTCTCTTTATGTGTATTTGGTACCAATATTAATTCGGAATGGGGACAAAAACGAGACGTGGAGTCTCGCGTTACGTTACCACTCTCAATTGCGGCAATTTAGTAGCCACACATACCATGACAGTGTTAGCGCATTTTAGTAAAACACGACGTATCCCTGCTAAAATACGCTGTAAAGATTTAAAGGTGATAACTTTCACCGTTGTCTCGCCACCACTTGCTCGAATATTGACACCATTTCTCCAATTTTTTCCCGAGAAAATTCCAAACAAATAGAATTTTGCCGTCTGAAATTCCTAAAACTATAAAACACAGCTTCCTTCCTTCCTCCTATATACTCAGCGGCGACGCCTGGATCATGATTCTTTCCGGCAACTGAAAGAGAAACAAAAATGGCTTCTTCTTCTCTCGAGATTGTTAAATTGTGTGGCTCTCCTGTTTCGTTTCCGCGCCATAAATCTCCCATTAGATTGGAATGTAGAAAAAGGGTTCTAAGATTATCCGATTCTAGGACTTGGCATCGTCTTGGTACATGTGTTAGGGTTTCTTCTTCTGCTCTCAACGGTGATAATCAGTCCAAAGGTCAGAACTTTTTTAATTTTTTTTTGGGTGCTAAACTCTCTAAAAGGAGTAGTTAGAGTTGATTTTATTTGTAATTAAAATTTGATTAGTCAGTAGGTGAGAAAGATGTTGAGAGTACCCATATTCTTTCCCTTTTTAGACAGGATTGTTTGTGATTAGCTCTCTAATCTTGATTCTTGAATCTTTTCTTAAGTCAAAAGGGGTTTAATATACAAGTAATCCTTTTTACTTGGATTCTTTCTTCTATTAATCGGGTGTAATTACATGGATGTTCCTCTACCTGAATTTGGACATTGATTGGGATAAAGTTGAGTAAGATTTTGATTTGTTGAGTTTTTTTGTAGGTGAAGAACCTCCAGAATCTTTGTTTATGAAAGAATTGAAGAGACGTGGTATGACTCCTACTTCTTTGCTTCAAGACTATGAAGTGGATCAGGATGAGATCAAAACCGGTAAAGAAACAGGAAACACTCCTAAAGCGACTGCAACTACTCCGGCCTTTGATAAAAGCTTGTTAAATCAGAGAGAAAGATCTTTGGCTTTAAACAGCGAAGGGCTTGAGGTCAGGTTAACTAACACTAGTACCTGTTCTAGTTATTATAGTTTCTTATAGTCATTTATTACTTCCTTGTCATATTAACTGCTGAAATTATGTTTCATTGACATCTTTTGTATCCGGATAGGTCTTAGCAGCTTATGTAGTTATGATAAAGGTTGATTTTAGGAGTCGTTTTGTTAATTGTGGAAAGGAACTGCTTACTGTTGTTTCAGGGGTTGATTCCGCGTGCTAGGATCTTGCTAACAATTGGAGGGACTTTCTTCTTGGGCTTTTGGCCTTTGATAGTCTTAACTCTCGGCGCCTTCTCTGCTCTTTACCTTGTAAGTATTTGATAATTTCAATGAGTGTACTTTTCTTCATTCCTATCCTTGAGTACAGTGGCAAATGTATTTTGGAGATTGTAAAGAGATCTCTTACTTCCTCCAAACAACCACCTCGTTAAGACCCTCAACTCTAATCCAACCCAAATCATATTTACATTTATGCTTATCAGTATTCTTCCACATTCTTCTCGCACATCGTGTCTCACTAAGGAAGTGATTTGGAATTAGTTGACAAGGTTTCTTTCCACAAACTGATTTTGTTTTTTTTTTCTTGTTGAAAATGAAAGTACTTTGGAGCAGATTTCGTTCATGATGGAAGTAGAACTCCCGTTTCACCACCACCGTACATCGATCCATATGCTCTGTTGGAGGATGAGAGGATATCAGGGATGGATCCTCGTGTAAATTAGCAGGCAACAAGTTGTTCTTCATACTCTCTACATAACTACTAGTATAGAGCATATATATTTGCTCTAAGTATATATTTTTAATTACAGTCTTTCCTTTAATTTATTTTCCTTGCATTTGTAAAAAAAATGTTGCTTTTCTATTCTTGCAACTTATTAAGGATTCGAAAAGTTCATTTCAAATCCTTGTATTTGGCAAACTCAATAAAATTTGACCACATAATATCAACTTTAGATTTTGGACAAAAAATTGCCAGTTTCAGACCAAAATAGAAACCGTACTCTACTTCAGTCTACTTACCTAACAAAGCACAACTTAAAATTCAGTTTTTGAAATGACTACTTTATCATAGGGAGAAAGATATTACCAGAAAAACGAGTCAATACACAAACGAACTAGATAATAGAAATCAAATGGCTACCGCCACAAGCAAGAGATAGAAACATAGTTTTTGCAAAACACAACTAAGACTCGTAAGAGTTTCGAGCCCATTCACACAAAACGAAATAAAAGAAAGCCCCACATAAAATCCAAGTTTTTAGAAACATTCTTCTTAGTATTCCTCTCCTTCATCATCCTCATCGTCACCTCCTTCAGCACCAACCTCTTCGTAATCCTTCTCCAATGCTGCAAGATCCTCACGAGCCTCTGAGAATTCTCCTTCTTCCATACCCTCACCCACATACCAGTGAACGAAAGCACGTTTGGCGTACATTAGATCAAACTTGTGATCAATACGGGAGAACACCTCAGCAACACTGGTGGAGTTTGAGATCATACAAACAGCTCTCTGCACTTTAGCAAGATCACCTCCTGGAACAACAGTTGGTGGCTGGTAGTTGATACCACACTTGAATCCAGTTGGACACCAGTCAACAAACTGAATAGTGCGCTTGGTCTTGATTGTGCCAACAGCTGCGTTCACATCCTTGGGGACTACATCACCACGGTACATCAAACAGCAAGCCATGTACTTTCCGTGACGTGGGTCACACTTAGCCATCATGGAAGCTGGCTCAAAGGCACTGTTTGTGATCTCAGCAACTGAGAGCTGCTCATGGAAGGCCTTCTCTGCGGAGATGACTGGTGCATAGGACGAAAGCATGAAGTGGATTCTTGGGTATGGCACCAAGTTGGTTTGGAACTCAGTGACATCAACATTCAAGGCACCATCGAACCTCAGAGAAGCAGTCAAGGAAGAAATAACCTGATACCAAATAAAGAGAGAAGGAAAATATTAGATAAGCCATGAAAATGAAACGGGCAAAAAGATTGGTATAACTGACTGAGGCTGGCTCTATACCTGAGAGACGAGACGGTTGAGGTTGGTGTAGGTTGGTCTCTCAATGCTTAGGGAGCGTCTGCAGATGTCATAGATAGCTTCATTGTCGAGGAGGATGGAGACATCAGTGTGTTCCAAGAGAGAGTGAGTGGAGAGGACACTGTTGTACGGCTCAACAACAGAGGTAGAGACCTGTGGAGATGGGTAAACAGTGAAACCCAACTTGGACTTTTTGCCATAGTCAACAGAAAGTCTCTCAAGGAGGAGAGATCCAAGACCAGATCCAGTCCCTCCACCAACAGCGTTGAAGACAAGGAATCCTTGGAGACCAGTACAGTTATCAGCGAGCTTTCTGATACGGTCCAAGCACAGATCAACAATCTCTTTCCCAACTGAGATAAGATTTCAATATCAAATCAGTTAATAAAACAGTAGAATCAATAAAAAGTGGTTGATGATGGAACAAGGGAAGGAGTAACTTACTGGTGTAATGTCCACGGGCGAAGTTGTTAGCTGCATCTTCTTTACCGCTGATGAGTTGTTCAGGGTGGAAAAGCTGACGGTAAGTACCAGTCCTAACCTCATCGATCACAGTTGGCTCAAGATCAACAAAGACAGCACGTGGGACGTGCTTCCCTGCACCGGTCTCACTGAAGAAGGTGTTGAAAGCATCGTCACCTCCGCCAACAGTCTTGTCACTGGGCATCTGACCATCAGGCTGTAACATTCCAGATCCAAAACAACACATCAATACAAGTTCATACAAAACGAATAGGATCAAAAGATCTAAACATACAGAAGCAACGATGAAAAGAGAAAATCACAACAAGAAGCTTCAACTATATCGCAAAGAGATCTACCAAAGTTTTCGTTCACCGAATATTATGAATAAAAACGAAACAGATCTGGCATCAACCAAAGCAATTTGACAAGAAATCGAAATCAAACACAGATCTAAACAGATTCATCGAATAATTTTGAAATGAGAAACGGATCTCGCATCAACCACAGAAATTTTAAACGACGTCGAAATCAAACAGAGATCTAGACAATTATGTACAATAGATCTACGAATTCATCAGAAATCCGAAGAACAAGGTCAATGCAGCGTCAAAATATCTCAGATCTGATCTAAAAACTAGGAAAAATATTGCAGAAAAACAGAGATCTAGATAGAAGAGAATTCGAGGAAGAGACGAACCTGAATGCCATGTTCGAGACAGTAAAGCTCCCAGCAAGCGTTTCCGACCTGGATACCGGCCTGACCAATGTGGATCGAAATGCACTCTCTCATTTTCGTTTCGCGGAAGAAAGAAACTAGATTTGCAGGGAAGAAGACGAAGAAGAAAAAGGGCGTTTATGAAGACGCTCTTCTTTAGATCTAGATCTGGTTTTTTCGATTTCTAGGTTTTTAGGATGGTGTTTGATGCTGTATTTATAAGCGAAAGTATCCATCTGTATGTAACGGCAAGTATAATACACGTGTAATGATGTAATTGGGTTGTTGTTAAAACCACGATTTGTTGATATCCTCGTGAGCTGCGTATTTTCTAATTTTGAATTTTTGCTAGCTTTATGACCGTTTCTCTTTATTTTTGAAATAGCAAAACCCCTTGAATTGCGTGGAAATTAACCGGAATTGAACCGGATCAGACCAATATCTAGAGTAAACCGAAACGATAAGAACTGAACCAAAATCGTCGAGAGGGGAACAAAAAAAATTCGAAGCTTTGAGTAATGAGAACGCTAGCGGCGGCTTCACGGCCACTGTTTTCCGATTTGCCCAGTCTTGTTCGTTCATGGCTTCCGCCTTCCAGCTTCAAGACGTTTGCTTCATTATCTTCGTCTCCACCGTCGGATTCGGATCTCCGGAATCAATCTCGCGGTGGCCTTCCTCGATTCTTCTCCGATGATCTTCCATCTCGCAAGGCACACACTCTCTCTCTCTTTCTCTATCTCATAGAATTGTTGTTCCCTTTAAATCTGTGTAAGAGTAATCACTGAGAACTTGGGAAAATTTCTGCGAATTCACTGAATTCTATCAGATGAGAATTCTAAGTAGTTTCCATTTTATGTTCAATCTTCATGTTGCGTGAAATGATAATATGAAGCTTCTCATTATCTGATTATTATAGGGTGGAAGTGTTCGTGTTCAAGGCTCTGAGTTTTGGCATATGGCTAAAGTTCTAAGACTGAAACAGGAGGACAGGTAACTACTACATTATGGGCATTTCGCAGTGTTGCGTTCATCAAATCTAGAAGTTTTCTTCTATCTGAATTGTGTGTGTGTGTGTGGATAGTAAAACCAAGGAGCCATCCTTTCATGAAGATCATAGTAACCTTTTTATGCATCTTTACGATGATAAATTCAGTTTTTTATGTAGTGTTAACATCAAAAGCAACTCTGAGATGAGATGAGGCCAACATTTTCTCTGGTTAAAGATCACTAAACCTTAAGTTTGAGTGAATGTAAGTAACTACTTGCACCCTTTTTTCTATGCAAGGGTAGAACTCTTTAATGGCAAAGGGGGTCTGGTAGAAGGTTGTATACAAAGCATTGACAAAACTGGAGTTGATTTTATCGCACAAGAAGATCAGAAGGTGATTCTTCCTCAGGGTATCCAGTGGCAGGTGTTTGCAGCTTTTGGTATGAAATGGGACTACTCTTAATGTTACGATATTGCCAGATTATTTATTCTCAGCTCGAGTCATGATATCTTTAAGAATGTGTGTTTCAGGCACTTTGAAGGGTGGTCGAGCAGATTGGCTAATTGAGAAATGTACAGTAAGTATTTTTTTCTAGTATGTCCAGTCTAAGTCACCTGTGAATATTGTGCCACTGAATATGTGTATATGCTCGTCTTAGGAACTCGGAGCGAGCAGTGTCACACCACTTTTAACGGAAAGATCATCCATAATCTCTGAAAACCGGGTTGACAGATTGGAACGTGTTAGTTTTGCCGCGGCTAAGCAATGTAAGTAGCATTAGTAAAAGAAAACAATTGGTTGGTTAATCTTGCTCTTCTTTTTCCTTGGCATTTATGATCACAAACTATTTGCCTTATCTTTTACTGTCACAGGCCAAAGACTTCATCAAATGGTATTGAACCCTCCAATCAAATTTGTTACCCTCTTGGATCATGTATGTTTACACATCTCTCTAAGCACACTCTAAGATCCTTGGTTTATAGAATTCCTGAATTCTTATTCTTCTAACCTTGCCTTGACACCTTTTGGGGTTTTCTAGATTTTCAAGTCAAAGTTATGTTTGATTGCCACAGCTGAAGCTACACCTCTTCTCAATGCAGTAAACTCCTCAGCAAAAGAATCCAGCGGACTATTAATCGTTGGACCAGAAGGCGGTAAGAAATCCTTACTTCAATACATTTCTGATGTGGCTCTCTCTTAAAACGTCTACTGATTTGCTACACTTTTGGGATTAGTGCTCTAGTAGACACAAAATGGACAGTAGCTAATGGCTCTTGTTAATGACTTGTATATATAATAAGTTTGTTACAATCTAACGGTCAATTATGAAATTGAAGCAGACTTCACGAAGAAAGAGGTGGAGATGATGCTGGAAGCTGGCGGCACAGCTGTTGGACTTGGGCCACACCGGTTGCGAGTTGAGACTGCAACCATTGCTCTTTTGGCAACTCTAGTGATGTGGTCTGACTCTCAAGAGATGATCTAAAAGCTTCTTAGGCTTTAGTTTTTGTTGCCTTTAGGCTTTGTCTTCTGTTCAGAGATTTTGGTTAGGTGTTTCTGGACTTTATCGATAAGAAAACAAAAGGGATGTTTGAATATTATAGCCTCATTATAAACAAGGAATCAAGGATACACAAGAATACATAAACACTGAAGAACAAGCTTCCCGAAGAAGGATAATCAATTTGGCGGTCGGGGTACCGAGTCCATCCAACATGGGAGCACAAACTGGGATAACATAAGGACTCCATCGCATCTCTCTTCCATGTACCCCTCAGTACCGGAAGTGTTTACGCTACAACAATCACCTTCACTACTACTCCAACCCTCTGAATCTTGATGAATAATAAACTCTTGTGCCTTCAAGTAACCCGATACCAAACAACCGTGTTGACGATCCCACAGATAGACAATATCAGTATCAAACGGATTCATTGCCAGGGGAAAACAGTTGACATCAGATATGAAAGATGGCATGATGACTTCCCAAATCAGTTGCCACCTTTCACTCTCTTCTTTATTCAGCCTCCATACTTTCAATGTTCGATGTATTACTTCAATGAAGATAACATCTTCTCCTGAAGTAGTCAAGCATCTCCGAACATCTTCCTCATCCGCGCCAGGGAGAGGTATAACCTGACATCGATCATCAGCTTCATGGCCATAAAAGTCATGAGCTACAAGGACACCAGGTCCATTAGAAAACATATACCTATCCCACATATAAAGAGTCCCATTGAGATTCACCGGAGAATCAATTCTACCGGCGTTGACGGGTCGAGATGAGAAAACTTGCTTGAAAGTCCATAAACCGGTCTCAGAAGAATATACACAAACTCTCCATAAATACATTCCTTCATCTCTACGATCAATCAGTTCCATTTGGATTGTCCTAACCATCTTGAAGCTTGAAACGACGCCGTTCTCAACGCGTGTTACCATACCAACGTCGCTTAACGGACTGGGATACCAAGGGTGTTTATCTTGAACCCATGGATTAGGAGGTTGAGGGATCTCAACCCATTGTTGTAAAACTGGATTACCAACAAAAGATTTATAACTAGAAACCATGTCCTTGATGCGAGAAACAAAGACATCGATCCAAATCAATCCATTAGAAGAAGCTATATAGTAGTATTCAGAGCCGGTAGGGAGATTCGGATATACTTGAAATGGCATGATATAAGAAAGTAGTGATTTGGGAAGATCCCATGTTTTGCATCCATGGAAGCCTATGGCTTGTGTCATCTGACGAAGATACTCTGTTCTGAACATGAGTGACCATGAGGTAGAGGAGTTTCCGTGAAGAGAGACAAAGAGACGTCGGAAGTAGCCCGATTCTATTACTGATTTCCATCTTTTGCAGACTGATTTGAATCTCGCGATGCTTCTCAACGGTAATCTTGCAAGTATCTCCACCTCTGGGATTGTTCTTCTTCCAGTCTCCATTGGAGTCTCTTTTGGTCACTGTTTTTTTTTTTTTTTTAACATCTCTTTTTCTTTTGGAGATGGTTGGACGTGAATGGCTCTTTTATTATTATCAACTTCTTAATTAAGCAATTTATATAGCGATTAAAAATGTTGATGATGATTGCTCTTTTATTGTTTTGTTTTTTATATATATATAACCATCCAAAATTCACGAGAAGTACAAACGAAGCAAAACAACATATTCTAACCATATTAATGATAGAAGAAAAAGCTTTTGCGATAAGCAATTGAAAAGTGAATTTAACCAAGATGATATGATACTGATAGGGAGCAATTGAAAAGTTACCAATTCTCTAAGAAGGACAATCAATTTGGTGGACGAGGTACTAAGTCCATCCACTGTGGAAGCACAAATTGAGATAATATAAGGAGAGATTTATCGTGATTAGTAGCTTTAATATACCCCTTAAAATTGCAGGTGTTTATGCAACAACAACCTTCACTACTAGTCCATTTCTCTGATTCTTGATGAAGAATAAACTCTTGTGTCCGCAAGTTACCCGTTACCAAACAATGGTGTTTTTGACTCCATAGATAAACGATATCATTATCAAGTGGATTCATTGCCATAGGAATACAAAACCAAAAATACATGACATTGAGCATGTTGATTTCCCGTGACAATAGCCACCATCCATTCTCGGAGTTGTTATTCATCCTCCAAATCTTTAATTTTTGACCTATTCTTACAATGTAGATAACATCTCCTCTTGAAGTAGTCAAGCAACTCTTAACATCTTGGTATCCACTAGGGACAGCAGGGAGAGGTATAACTTGACAATGATCATCAGCTTCAGGGCCATAGAAGTCATGAGCTACAATAACACCATGTTCACTAGAAGTAACTCTCCTTTCCCACAGATAAAGCTTCCCGTTGATATTCACAGCAGGGTGGTTCACGGGACGCGAGTTTAAAAGTCGCTTAAAAGTCCATAACCCTGTCTCGGACGAATATACATACACTCTACGTATATACATTCCCCGGTCTCCAGCTTCAAACTTTTGAAAAGTCCTAACCACTTTGAAGCTAGAAACGACGCCATCCTCCTCCACACGCGTTACCAAACCCGTTGCGGCACATGGACATGGAGGAGGAGGTATTTCAACCCATTGTTGTAAAACTGGATTACCAACGAAGGATTTATAACTGCAAGTTGTGCTCTCAGTGACATCAATCCAAACCAATCCATTGGAAGAAGCAACGTAGAAGTATTCAGTGTTAGGGAGATTAGGAGGCATGATATAAGAAGCTAAGGACTTGGGAAGATTCCATGTCTTGCATCCATGGAAGCTTATGACTTCTTTGATGGTATGATGATAATCGGTTGGTAACATGACAGACCATGAGGAAGAGGAGTTTTGGTGCAAAGAAACAAAGACACGGCGAAAATCCGACGATTCTATTACTGATTTCCAGCTTTTACAAACCAGTTTGAATCTGGCGATGCTTCTCAATGAGAATATCGCAAATATCTCCACCAATACGGCATCTGGGATTGTTGTTATTGAGGTTTGCATTGTGGTTTGCTTAACTCATACAAGTTGGCACTTTTTATATTATGAAATCTTTATTGATTAAGTAACATTGTCCATATATGGACAACAAAATATGGAATTAAAATGGCTTGGATTTTTGAATCATATTTGGAGGTTATATACAAAATGGTTGGACCAGCCCTGCTTTAAAATCACACACACTCGACATTTGGCTTTACTCATTACTCAATGCAATCCATATATTAATATAATAAAATATTTTAATTATTGCATATATCTTCTCACTTTATTTATACAAATGTACTAATGCCACCAAAAATAGTATTATTTTTTAATAAAATTATAAAAGAAATCTTCTTAATTCATTTATAAAATCTAAAAGTAGATTTGCATTTATAACCTACTAGTGTTAAGCCCGTACTTCGTACGGTTCAAACGACGATAATCTTCACAATAGCACGATAATGTTTTGAATATTATTTCTAAAACAATCATAATCTTGATGCTCTTGTTTGTGAAGGTGGAAATCAAAGCCTTCATGTATTGAGCAATTGTAGTATTCATTAGTAAATATTAAAAACTTTTAATGTTAAATTTTGTAATCGTAAGGTAAACAATTTTACAATAAGAATTAGGTATGAAAGATTAATACATCCAAATGCAATTTCATAACTAAAGATCTAAGTCCATGGGAGAAATGGAATAAAAACTGTTCAGATTTATTCATAAAAACAAACTTTGGAGAATTAGGCATGCTTTTTAACTCTAGAATTTGCTACAGTATGCAAAAATGATTTATTAATGAGAGCTATACACATCAAACATTATTGGAAAACTTGGAAAGAAAAGAGTTCAAGGAATCAAATTTTGGTGTTATAACAGAATATCGCCACAAACAATCTACTTTAGAGCTAAGACTTCCTCTGGTTTTATACTTGAATGCTGAGACTTTTTGTTGATTTCAATGTCACCCTCTAAATCCTCTCTGCAAAATTTTGGTCACAACAAACAAAAAACATCAGAAAATAGATATCTAATTTAGTTCGTCAACTAAGTGGTTCTATATTAGAAACATAACAAATTAGAGTTTTCTGTCATGCATTTTGACATACAGTTGATAGACAAAACTAACGCCCACGTTATCTGGATCATAATTTAGGTTCCTCCATAGTGAAGAATCATACCTTTTTGCCAACAATTTCATTTCCTTCGTTTACTTTCGATTCAATCTCGCCTCCTTCGTTTTCTGGATCTAGATTATTGAATTTTTGGCTTTTGATGGGAAGAAGAAGCAAAAAGATGATTTTGTTTGATTTCTTTATGAAGTGAGAATTATATAGTGACAGGAAGAAGAGATCGTGGGCGAAGAGATTGTGGGGCAGTTGAAGAAACTATTTTTTTTTATTGATTCATTTTTTTAATTGATTTTTTTTTTTTCTTCTTGAATAATTAGGTTTACATTTAGAAAAGTGAAAGACTAAAATTTGAGACTTAATCCACGCGTCAAAAGGAGAGGGTTGCAGTTTTTTGTGAATTGACTTGTGATTTATTATATAAGGATAAAAGGAGTGATAATTTTATTTTTATTTCCGTTGTCTATTTATGAAGTCTTTTTATTTCCGTTGTCTCTAAAAGTAGATTTGCATTTATATATATATACATTATATATAATTCTTGTCATAAATCATATGGTGTGACTCGTATGGTGTAGATAAACATAATATACATCTGCAAGTAATTAAGAATGTGATTTCAGAAAAACTTTAGACCATTTAAGAAGGAGATGATGGATATTAGCATCCATGCGAGTACCAACTCCACCCCACACTAACATGTCAGCCATGTCTCCGATCGACGACCCACTCACTTCTTTCACCTCTTCGAACCCAATTCTTCTGTAAAACCTAACCAGCTGATACATAGGAAATTCAGTTCGGTTCAGTATGTATCGGTACACATGTTAAACCGAGATCAGAATTCAATCGGTTTGGTCCGATCATACAACAGGTATGATTTGTACGATGAGGTCTCTATAATTTCATAGAAAAACTGTAACAAAAAAAAAACAAACCAAACCAAATCGAAATGTAATCAACCCAAACTAGAAATTTGTTTACAGACTGATTGGTTTTATTATTCTAACACCCGATAAAGCAAAACCAAAACTAAACCGAATAAACCAAAATTCATGATACATGTAATCAAATCACCTCTCAGATTCGGTCCGGTTCGGTATAACCAAACAAATTCTCAATTTCAATTTCGATAGAAAAGAGTAGAGGGAGAAAGAGAGAGACCTTGGAATGGTAGAGATCGGAGTCGTAGATAGCGAGAAGCTGAGCAGTGCGGCAACCACAGTCATAGCCATGGCGAATAGCTACAGCTCCGACGTATAAACCAACTCCAAGAACAGACTTATCCATAGCCACCGTCTCTTTTGTCAGTCTTATCGTATCCAAATGCAGAACCAAGCCGCGTCCGAACCATGGACGCACCACTCCCTCTGCTCTTCCCACCTCACCGCCTGTTTCTACGTTCTTCCCTGTCACTCTGAAAAACGGTCCTAAAGTCTGGATCCTTAAGTCTAGCTTTCGAGCTTTTGATGACGTCAGGATGTCTGACATCGACGGTAATGAGTTGGGTTCACCCAGGGAATTGGACGGTGAGAGATTGAGTTTAGGTGGAATCAGAGCCATCTTCATTTCTTCTGAGTTTCGTTCCTGAAGGGTTTAGGGATAGGATATTATTATAGGTAACACAGATGACACGTGGCATCCACCCAGAGAATCGAACATTTCTAGAGGAAGAACCTTTGCTGACAATAAGGAAAGCTCAACTGTGAAAAGTAACATGAACAAGGCTCACGAGTTTTGATTGCTCTTTGTGAAGAATGAGTGTATTGGGATGTGTTTGCTACTGTCCTTCTGATCTGGTTTCTGCTTCTTTCGCCTAGAATTTACCTTTTCCTTTCCGAGAATCCTAACAAGTGTTTGGTTATGAAGTTTCAGTGAAAAGCAGAGACTTGTAAGAAACATAAAGGAGCAGGCTTTAAAATGTAACTGTCAGCTGACCTTCGTTTTGAAGGTGTTGTGGAAGAACTCGAGCCAGATTCTTCGTTTTGAAGTCTCTGAGCGAGATGAAAATCAGAGTGTTCCTGTCGTTCCTCAACAAAAGATGGTGGTAACTCTATCCCACACAAGACGCATTTGTAGCCATCAACCCAATATAATGGCTCCGTTTGCGGATATACTGAAACTGCTTTGGTGTTTTGTGCATTAGAACTATCATTCATCGAGTGATTCGTATCTAGTTTGCACTCCTTGTGTTTTTTGAGCAGAGCATCTCCTTCAAGTACTTGCGGCCTTTCTTCTTTTTTCACACATTCTTGATTTGGAATTACCTTTTCAGAATCTATTTGGGATTGTTCTTCATATTCAACAACATCCTTCAGATGGGCATAGCTTGTCTCATGGGAACCAAAGGATAAACTCACGTCATTACTTAAGCAATTTTTACTAGCTTCTAAGTCAAATGAGTCATTATCATCCAGATCTTGTCTTGAAGAATCCTTTTGAATGATGAACTTAGTAATAGTTCCCTGTGAAGGATCAGAATTGCGGATTTCTCCAACGAACTGCGACATGCGCAAACCTGCATATTCATAGATCGAATTCTGGAATTTTAGTAGATGGGCTAGTATATTTAATATAATGTTTCTAAAGAGAGAAGAATGACGAACACTACTGAGCCGCACCTATCAACCTTACGGAAACAGGAAGTTCCGCCTTCAACAGCTTTGTAGCATGCTTTAGTATATCATCGCTTGAACACGTGTACCTCTGCAGGCTAACAGCTCTGCTCCTGATCTGAGCATAGCAGATTGTCACACTTTCAGCACATAGATGGATTTCCAAATAGGGAGAAATAAAATGAAATTTAGATGAGCACCTCAAAGGAGGCAGTTTTCAGTTTAAGTGTCAACGTCCTTGCTGTTAGACCCTCCTTTTTCATGTCATGAGATAGCATTTCTGCAATTTCAGCTGCCCAGAACAGAAGAGATAATAATTCAGTTGAATTATGTCAAATATAGATTCGTTTAGTCTAAAAGGCAAACAGGTTGATGTAAGACTGCTCAGTACCCCAGAAACAAACTATGAATTCAAGTAGTCTTATTAAACAATCCTTTATTGTGTTAAATTTTTCTAGATCCTTTGGTTTGCCTTTGATTATTGAGCTATGTAGGTCTTATGAGAGAAAAAAACACTAATGCGCAAACTACTCACCCAACTTCGAATATAGCAATCTTTCATCTCCTGTCGCAGCAAATGTCCTCTCACTGCTAATACTTTTACGAGACCTAACCTGAGGGGTGTCTGTTCCTCCAAGCCCCAGTCCAACCGACAAAAAAAAGTCTACAAAATTTTGTCGAGCAATAGCTATAAGGAATATGTTCCATTGAATATATCATGTGAAACATGAGTTAACAACTAATGCCTACAAAATAACAGATCGTTTGCTGGAAAGGAAGAGTAAAAAGGAAGGATGACATGCTGCTACCTGCTGACGACTGAGAGAAGAGAGCGTAGAGAAGAGATCCCTTCTGCACCATCTCCTCACATGTTTTAATTCCCAAAGCGTCTTTTAGAATATGTTCAGTAACCTTACCAATTCCACCGATCTGTTAACCAATTTCCAGTTAGCATTAATTTGACTAGTAAATATAGAAACACAGTATCAATTCCTACACAAATTTTCAACTCAAACTCTAATCGAATTTACTTTAGAAAAACCTAGGCCACTGCTTTAGATGACTCAAAAAGAACCAACCCCCAGCCATCACAAACAATATGAGGTGTTTTTAAGTTCTGTCCCAAACAGAAACTAAGTTCTGCATGGCATCTCTATTACTACCTATATTCAAATTTTCTATTGGATATCTAATATCGCTCACGTAAATGAATCATCATCTGCACTTCTACGCAGCAAATTAAAGGATCTGGGGAATAATTGGCAAATTAAAGGATCTGGGGAATAATTGGAGTGGTAGTTTCTCTTTATAGACTTGAAAAGAAAAAATCTTCCCAAGATTTGACAGCAAAAAAACAGTTCTGGAACACATACCTTTCTTACAGGGAGGGAAGATACAAATGTCATGACAGTTGATCGGTCATTTTGTAGAACAAACTGTCCATTAGGCTTGTTAATGTCTGAGCAAACCTGAAACATAGTAGAGCTAGATTAAGAACACATTTTTTTTTGTAAAATAGTAATGTAGACAACACTGACACATGTAAGATGAAAAATCAGAAAGAGAGATAAAATTTGAAAGTATAGGAGGTCATGCACATATAAAGATTAAAGAGAACCTTGGCTAGCAAGCGGTTTGCCGCTACCCCAGCACTGCATGTCAGTCCAGTCTCGGAATAAACAGAAGATCTAAGCTCCTCTGCAATCTACACAAATAAGTGAAGAAAAGGAAGGGAATAGTTGCAGTGTCAGCCAAAAAAATTCTCAAAAAAGATACAACCATCACAAAGAATGCATCTGATGAGGTCACACTTACTTCTCCACCTGAAAGACCTCTTTCTTGACAAACCTCAGTTATATCAAGGTAGGCTTCATCCAAGCTCCCAGCAATGAAGTGAGGATCATAGCTCCTAAAAACTAAATGAAACACATTAATGCAAATATAAGCAGAAAAATAAGAACAGCAAGCATAAAGCTACACATGTAAAAAGAGGAGCAACTAACCCTTTCTTGTTAAGTCACTGTAGTGAGTATACTTAGTGAAATCTACAGGAACAAAAATCAAATCTGGACATAGTTTACGAGCAATGAAGCCAGGCATTGCAGCACGGACCCCAAATTTCCTTGCCTAAGAGGGATAGTAAACAATGAGTACAAGTTATGAGCATAACTTCGGGCAGACTGTTTATCCACCAGTTGAAAACCAAAGCATACCTCATAATTAGCAGTGGAGATCATGGATAAGCCTCCAACAGCCATTGGCTTTCCCTTGAGGGAAGGATCACTCAAAGTTTCAACAGCAGCATAAAAAGCATCCATATCAACATGCAGCCAAATTCTAGATAGGTCACGTGTAGCTTCTAACTCTAAGATCCTTTTATCAACCACCTTCAAATGAAAAAGCTTATATATAGTTAACGACTAACAAAACAAAAATGAAAGATTACAGAACCAGAACTCCCTATTCTAGCAAACTATTCCTCAAAAGTGAAGAAGATATAGTCTCTATAGCTAGAAACCTTACACAGAAATAGTGACACATACCTTGTGATAATTAGATAAATCAGGGGACGAAAGTTTTGCGCATCTATCACGCATATGCTCAATCTTTTGTTTCATAAGAGCTTCTTTACGTTCCTCATTTTGAAAATACTTGGACCCCTTACTCATTTCATAGACAATCCTCTGGACTCTCTCTTTGTCCACTCCCTCCATTCCTAACGAATACACACAGACACATTGAAAAGTTTAGAAACTTAATTCAAACACCAACCAATAACTAAAAGATGCAAATTTAAGAATTTGATATTCCGCAATTTCCACAATTGAATTGAACCAAAACACATGAGAAAAATGGTCTAAAAGCAGTCAACTATAACCCGACGATCCACGAATCGATCAATTTTCAAGAATTAACGAAGTGATTCTACTCTGGAAGAAACAAATCACGAAAGAATCCTCACAAATTACTGAATGAATAAGAAGAAAAACCCTATCGGGAAACAAACCCGCTTTGGCGTTCGTGAAGACGGTGTTGTAGGATTCCCATGGCCGCGACGAATTGTTGGTGGACGATGATTCGCCATTATCCATTCTTCTCCAGTCTTCTTCCTTCTCTACGAAGCTTGTTACACAGTTTGGTCGCCGAATTTTTTTTATTTGGAAAAAGCCCGCCCGATTCACACCTGAACCCGAACCGAAATTTATTTATTTATTTATTGCGATTTAACACATGAGAAAAATTAAAGCTTCTTCTTCTCATGATGATGAGTTCTTCTTGTGTGTCAAAGAGAAGCATCTGTGAAAAATGAAAATGGGCGGTGGTTGCTAAAGTGCGCTTGGGTTCGATAGCAACTTGAGACTGTTTTTTTTTTTGTAACGAATTAATTAATACTTGGATAGCAACTTGAGAAAAAAATTATTTAGAGAAATATTTTGTTTAATATTAGCATTTACTCAATTTTTTATTTTATATATATGTTGATTTCTAAGAACTTCTAGATTCTGTCGATGATATAGTAATAATATTTGAAGTAACGCCCCAATTCCACTTAATTTCTAAAAAAGGTATAGGCAAATATGGACTCGGTACCCCGACCGCCAAATTAATTATCCTTCTTAGGGAATTGGTAACTTTTGAATTTGCTTGTTACAAAAGCTTGTTCTTTGGTGTTTATGTATTTTTGTTTATCCTTGTTTATAATGAGGCCACCATATTTGCTATATCTATCAGTGTCAAGGTCAGCTCTGCTCTTCTGCGATGACTTAACATTTAACTTTCGCCTGTAAATTTTTTGGCAGGGCTTTAAGAATTAATAATCATAACGTTGTCGTTAGTGATGCTGACCTTGATTTATTGATCTCGTAGCATACAGAAACATATCGTAAATCGAAGCTTTTCTTAGCTATTCAAGAATTCTTTTTGTTTATCAACCAAATCCAGAGACCTTACCTAGCAAAAATCTCAGAACACAAGACAAGGCAACAAAAACTAAAGCCTAACAAGCTTTTAGACCGTCTCTTGAGAGTCAGACCACATCACTAGAGTTGCAAGAAGAGCAATGGTTGCAGTCTCAACTCGCAACCGGTGTGGTCCGAGTCCAACTGCTGTGCCGCCTGCTTCCAACATCATCTCCACCTCTTTCTTCGTGAAGTCTGCGCCACTTTCATAGTTGATGTTAGATTGTACCAGTCTACCAGACTTGTATAATTGGGACAAGTCATAAACAAGAGCATAGCTACTGTTCATTTGTGTCTACTCAAGCACTAACCAGTGAATTTAAAAATATGATAGCTTCCGCAGAAGTTTTATGACAGACAACCGCAGCAGGATTCATAAATGTATTAAGAAAGGGTTACTTACCGCCTTCTGGTCCAACGATTAATATTCCACTGGTTTCTTTTGTTGAGGAGTTTACTGCATTCAGGAGTGGTGTAGCTTCAGCTGTAGCAACCAAACATAACTTTGATTTGGAAATCTAGAAAACAACAAAATTGTATTATGGGAAGTTTAAAAACCAAAAATCTTAGAGTGTTCTTAGAGAGATGTTGAAACATACATGATCCAAGAGGGTATCAAATTTGATTGGAGGGTTCAGTACCATTTGATGTAGCCTTTGGCCTGTGACAGTAAAAGATAAGGCAAATAGTTTGTGATAACACAACTATAATGCGAAGGAAAAAAAAGAGCAAGATTAATTGATCAAATGTTCTTTATACTATTATTACTTACACTGCTTAGCCGCAGCAAAACTAACGCGTTCCAATCTATCAACCCGGTTTTCAGAGATTATGGAAGATCTTTCTGTTAAAAGTGGGGTGACACTACTCGCTCCAAGTTCCTAAGATAAGCATATACACATATTCAGTGGCACAAATAATCAGAGGTGACTTAGAACGGACATACTAGAAGTAATTAACTTACTGTACATTTCTCAATTAGCCAATCCGCTCGACCACCCTTCAAAGTTCCTGTCAACACATTTTTAAAGAAATCATGACTCGAGCAGAGCCAGAGACTATAACATCAGGCGACATTGTAGAATTAAGAGCAGTTCCCTATCGTACCAAAAGCTGCAAACATCTGCCACTGCATGCCCTGAGGAAGAATCACCTTCTGATCTTCTTGTGCGATAAAATCAACTCCAGTTTTGTCAATGCTTTGAATACAACCTTCTACCAGACCCCCTTTGCCATTAAAGAGTTCTACCCTTGCATAGAAAAAGAGTGCAAGTAATTACTCACATTCGCTAAAACTTAAGGTTTAGTGATTTTAAACTTAATTACTTACATTCACTAAAACTAAAGGTTTAGTGATCTTAAACCAAAGAAAGGGTTACTTTTGATGCTATCATTACTTAACCAGCTGAAGTCATCATGGTAAATATGCATAAAAATAAAAATAAAAGTCATCATGGTAAATATACCATATACACACACAGCATTCAGATGGAAGAAAACTTTTAGCAACATGGATACAAGCAAACAAAATACAGAAAATTCTAAAACTGAGACAAGAAAGAACAACTCAATTTTTAAAAGGGCTTTCATGAATGCAACACCAAACATATTTGAATGTAGTAGTTACCTGTCCTCCTGTTTCAGTCTTAGAACTTTAGCCATATGCCAAAACTCAGAGCCTTGAACACGAACAACTCCACCCTATAATAATCATAATGATTTTTACACAAATGAGAAGTTTAATATTATCATTTCACGCAACATAAGTAACAAGAACATATAATATTATCATTTCACTGTGATTTATTTCTTAGAGATTACAGTTAATTAGCAGAAATTTCTAAACTTCTCAGTGATTACCCTCACTCTGATTTTGATTGGATTCTTACACAGATTTAAAGGGAACATCAATTATATGAGATAGAGATAGAGAGAGAGAGAGTGTATGCCTTGCGAGATGGAAGATCATCGGAAAAGAATCGAGGAAGGCCACCGCGAGATTGATTCCGGAGATCCAAATCCGACGGAGGAGACGAAGATACAGAAGCAAACGTCTTGAAGCTATGAGGCGGAAGCCATGAACGAACAAGACTCGGCAAATCGGAAAACAGTGGCCGTGAAGCCGCCGCTAGCGCTCTCATTACTCAAAGCTTCGAAATCTTTTTCCCCCTTTCGAAGATTTTGGTTCAGTTGTTATCGTTTCGGTTTATTCTAATATTGGTCTGATCCGGTTCAATTCCGGTTAAATTCCAATTAACTTCCGATTAAGCTCAAACTAAATTCCGGTTAAATTCCAATCCACGCAATTCAAGGGGTTTTGCTATTTCAAAAATAAAGAGAAACGGTCATAAAGCTAGCAAAAATTCAAAATTAGAAAATACGCAGCTCACGAGGATATCAACAAATCGTGGTTTTAACAACAACCCAATCACATCATTACACGTGTATTATACGTCCCGTTACATACAGATGGATACTTTCGCTTATAAATATACAGCATCGAACACCTACCGTAAAACCTAGAAATCGAAAAAATCAGATCTAGATCTAAAGAAGAGCGTCTTCATAAACGCCCTTCTTCTTCTTCGTCTTCTTCCCTGCAAATCTAGTTTTTAGATCTTTTCTTTCTTCCGCGAAACGAAAATGAGAGAGTGCATTTCGATCCACATTGGTCAGGCCGGTATCCAGGTCGGGAACGCTTGCTGGGAGCTTTACTGTCTCGAACATGGCATTCAGGTTCGTCTCTTCCTCTTCGTCACCAGATCTGTGTTTTTCTCCTATATTTTTCGTTGTTTATAGATCAGATCTGAGATATTTTAGCACTGCATTGACCTTGTTCTTCGGATTTCTGATGAATTCGTAGATCTATTGTACCTAATCGTTTAGATCTGTGTTTGATTTTGATGTCTTGGAGAATTTTTATATGCTTGATGTAAGATTCGTTTCTCATTTCAAAAATCTTCGATAAAGCTGTTTAGATCTGAGTTTGAAATCGATTTCTTGTTGGTTCATTCGAGATCCTAAAAATTCTTGTAGATTTGTTTAGGATGCAATCAATCTATTCCCGATATATTTAAAGTTTCTATATGTTTAGATCCTATTCGTTTTGTATGGCTCTCTGTATTGATGTTTTGTTTTGGATCTGGAATGTTACAGCCTGATGGTCAGATGCCGAGTGACAAGACTGTTGGCGGAGGTGACGATGCTTTCAACACCTTCTTCAGTGAGACCGGTGCAGGGAAGCACGTCCCACGTGCTGTCTTTGTTGATCTGGAGCCAACTGTGATCGATGAGGTCAGGACTGGTACTTACCGCCAGCTTTTCCACCCTGAGCAACTCATCAGCGGTAAAGAAGACGCAGCTAACAACTTCGCCCGTGGACATTACACCAGTAAGTCACTCCTTCTTCCCTTGTTCCATCATCAACCACTTTTTATTGATTCTACTGTTTTAGTAACTGATTTGATTTTTTGAAATTTTATCTCAGTTGGGAAAGAGATTGTTGATCTGTGCTTGGACCGTATCAGAAAGCTCGCTGATAACTGTACTGGTCTCCAAGGATTCCTTGTCTTCAACGCTGTTGGTGGAGGGACTGGATCTGGTCTTGGATCTCTCCTCCTTGAGAGACTTTCTGTTGACTATGGCAAAAAATCCAAGTTGGGTTTCACTGTTTACCCATCGCCACAGGTCTCCACCTCTGTTGTTGAGCCTTACAACAGTGTCCTCTCTACTCACTCACTCTTGGAACACACTGATGTGTCCATCCTCCTCGACAATGAAGCTATCTATGACATCTGCAGACGCTCCCTAAGCATTGAGAGACCAACCTACACCAACCTCAACCGTCTTGTCTCTCAGGTATAGTAGCCAGCCTCATTGATTTACATCAGCCTTGTTGCTGTTTATTTTCCTTGCTTATCTAATGTTTTTGTTCTCCCTTTATTTGGTTTCAGGTTATTTCTTCCTTGACTGCTTCTCTGAGGTTCGATGGTGCCTTGAACGTTGATGTCACTGAGTTCCAAACCAACTTGGTGCCATACCCAAGAATCCACTTCATGCTTTCGTCCTATGCACCAGTCATCTCCGCAGAGAAGGCCTTCCATGAGCAGCTCTCAGTTGCTGAGATCACAAACAGTGCTTTTGAGCCAGCTTCCATGATGGCTAAGTGTGACCCACGTCACGGAAAGTACATGGCTTGCTGTTTGATGTACCGTGGTGATGTAGTCCCCAAGGATGTGAACGCAGCTGTTGGCACAATCAAGACCAAGCGCACTATTCAGTTTGTTGACTGGTGTCCAACTGGATTCAAGTGTGGTATCAACTACCAGCCACCAACTGTTGTTCCAGGAGGTGATCTTGCTAAAGTGCAGAGAGCTGTTTGTATGATCTCAAACTCCACCAGTGTTGCTGAGGTGTTCTCCCGTATTGATCACAAGTTTGATCTAATGTACGCCAAACGTGCTTTCGTTCACTGGTATGTGGGTGAGGGTATGGAAGAAGGAGAATTCTCAGAGGCTCGTGAGGATCTTGCAGCATTGGAGAAGGATTACGAAGAGGTTGGTGCTGAAGGAGGTGACGATGAGGATGATGAAGGAGAGGAGTACTAAGAAACATGTTTCTTAAAACTCGGATTTTATGTGGGCTTTCTGTTATCTTGTGTTTGTGTGAATGGGCTCGAAACTCTTACGAGTCTTAGTTGTTTTTTTCAAAAACTATATTCTATCTCTTGCTTGTGGCGGTAGCCATTTGATTTCTATTATCTAGTTCGTTTGTGTTTCTGGTAATATTTCTCATCTCCAAGAACTGAATTTAAGCTAGGTTTTGGCTTTTGCATACAGTTCTATTTTGGTATGAATCGATTGTCCAAAATCTACCGTTAATTACTTGTCCGAGGTAAATTGTTTTATTTTGAGTGGTGAAAGATTGAAACTTTTCGAAACCTTAATAGTAAGTTGCAAGAATAGAGAAGCAACGATTCTTTTTACAACCGTAAGGAAAATAAATAAAAGGAAAGACTGTAAATAAAAATATATACTTAAGAGCAAATATATATGCTCTATACTAGTAGCTATATTGTTGCCTGCTAATTTCTATGGCGACATGATGTGCGAGAAGAATACTGATAAGCATAAAATGTAGGTGGTTGTTTGGAGGAGCTGAGGAGGTAAGAGATCTCTTTAGCAATCTCCAAAATACATTTGCCACTTTCTTAAAAAAGCACACTCCTTGATCTTATCAAAAATACTTGCAAGGTAAAGAGCAGAGAAGGCGCCAAGAGTTAAGACTATCAATGGCCAAAAGCCCAAGAAGAAAGTCCCTCCAATTGTCAGCAAGATCCTAGCACGCGGAATCAATCCCTGAAACAACAGTAAGCAATTCGTTTCTACAATTAACAAACTCCTAAAATCAACATTTATCATAACTACACAAGCTGCTAAGAACTATCCGAAAGATGGCAATGAAACATAATTTTAGCAGTTAATGAGACAAGGAAGTAATAAATGAGTATGAGAAACTATAATAACTAGAAGAGGTACTAGTGTTAGTTAATCTGACCTCAAGTCCTTCGCTGTTTAAAGCCAAAGATCTCTCTCTCTGATTAAACAAGCTTTTATCGAACGCCGGAGTAGTTGCAGTCGCTTTAGAACTGTTTCCGGTTTCTTTACCGGTTTTGATTTCATCCTGATCCCCTTCATAGTCTTGAAGCAACGAAGTAGGAGTCATACCACGTCTCTTCAATTCTTTCATTTTATCCACAAGCTTGAGCTCATGGTTAATTGAGAAATCGAATTCGCAACAGATTAAAACTTAAGCAAGATATGGATCAAAGTTAACCAAACATGGATCAAAGTTCGGATTTAATTTTCTTTTCTTCTTCAATGTTCTAAGCTTTTTTTTCTCAGCCCTTCTCTTTTAAAAAACCGTTGCACAAGTTGTAAAAACGTTTTTATTTTTCTTTTGAATTTAATTTAATATTACATTCAAAAAAAAAAAAAAAAAAACTGAAGCAAGATATATAAATTCCTGAGCAGCCTTTTTTTAAAAAAAAATTCATAGAAATACAAAAATTTATCATCATCATCATCATCATCATAATCATTTGTTGGCTTTGAGCCATTCAAGAATCTTTTTTTCAGATTCACTGAGCTCTGCTTCTGTCTTTCCCTTTATAGATCCTTCAACAAACTCAAAGTAGTCTTTATAATTCCTCTTGTAAAAACTGTCCAATCTCTGTTTAATTTTCCCAACATGAACGAAAAATATCATAAGAAAATTCCAGACAAAAGATAACAAAAAAGTGCGTTTAGGTAATATAAATTCATTTCTCTTTACCTCTTTATCATTCTTGGCTTTGTTTTCCTCAGTCTTCTTCAAATACTCTGTAACAATTCTTCCCCAAAAACCGACATAGTTTAGTTTAGGGAAAACAAACATTCGAAATGTTAAAAAAAAAACACACAATTAAGCATTTTTAATTACTCTGAAGAAGCTGATCGCTGCTGGTCAAAGCAGTGGCGATGAAGGACGTTGAGGAGAAGAGGATGTTTCTGCGTCCTAAATCAGCGACTGGAGCGGTTAAAGAATCGCGTTTGGTATCGTTTCTGCGTACAGCTTGAACATTGGAAGAAGCATATTTGTTAACAGTTACTGTTAAAGCCATGAGAATGCTTTGGCTTATGGAACTCATCTTTCTCTTCTTCACCACAAGATAAGATTTTCTTATTCAGTGTCTTATCTACATTGCAACAGAGAAACAAACATCTTTCTATTTATTTAAAAACAAGTCCCTAACTATGTAATTTTACAAGATAAACCCTTAAATCTATTAAGAAATAGATATCAAACCCAGAGAGAAATTTGTAGAGACAAAACCGGTTCAATAGGACAAAAATTCTTAAACCGATTATGGTTCGGTCGAGATTTTGACTGTACTCAGTACTTACATCTTCTTCATCTGACGATAGCAAAAATGACAAGCAATCCCTAATTTCGCCTCAAAAATCCCAAAAAGCTTCCTTCTTTTTTAGTCATCATCTTCTTCTTTTCTTCTTCATCGGTTGCTAAATCGGAGATGGCGACTTCTCTGGTTTCTCCTCTTACTTCACAGCTCAACCATGAAGCTGTCTGTTCCAAGTTCGTGCTTCCCAAATCATCGTTCATGTCGGGATCTAAGCTCTTTTCATCGAACATGCCTTGCTCTACTGTTCCTAGACGCACAAGAAGATCACACTGCTCTGCTTCTGCTAAAGATATGAGCTTTGACCATATCCCTAAACAATTTCGAGGAGACAATCTCAAAGATGGAGGTTTTCATTTTCTCTAATTTTTTTTATCTTCTCCTTCTGATAGATTTGTTCTTAGGTCTCCAACTTTGAATTGAGTCACAAAGTTCTGTATTTTCCTTTGATTAGCTTAGACGAAGTACCTGATAGGCCTTAGTGACACATTTGTCTACAATCATAAGGTAGGACGATGAATTAGGAAAATCGATGTAGCAAAGATTGTTTCTTTGGGGCGTTTAATTCCGTTTCCAATACGTCGATGTTGTTCATTATCTAAGTTTGTATAGCAAATCTCTGTGGGCTTTTAGTTTCTCTAATGTCTTAACCTGGACTTAGTTTAAAACACACTAATTTCAGCAAAGTGAAACTCTTTTGTTCGTGATAAGTTGTTGTCTATGTAGTGGACGAATTTATAAGTTTGATTGCTACAATCACGAAATTTATGCTTAGGAGAACTATTTTTAATGCTTTGTTTATTTGATCTGACATACTATTTTTCTTCGCCTTTTTCTTTAGTGATGCAGAACTTCAAGACTGTACCGCAATATTTTTACGGGCTTAATCCAGCTCAAATGGATATGTTCATGACAGAGGATAGCCCTGTCCGTAGGCAAGCGGAAAAAGTTACAGAGGTTAGTTTTCTCTTCTAATCCTTCTTATCTGTCTATTTACAGTTGCGGAATCTGGAAACAGTAAAAAGTGAACAAAGTTGCTTCTCAAATATATGAATCTTAACTTGTTTGTTGTCGTGCTACTACTTTGTTGACAGGAAAGCATCTCGTCTAGAAGAAATTATTTGGACAATGGAGGAATATGGAGTATGTCCGGTATGAATGCAGCAGATGCTAGAAGATATAGCATGAGTGTCCAGATGTACAGAGGTGGAGGTGGCGGAGGAGGATCTGAAAGACCAAGAACTGCTCCTCCAGATTTGCCTTCTTTGCTATTGGATGCTCGGATATGCTACCTTGGAATGCCAGTAAGAGCGTCATGTCTTGAAAACTTGTTATCAAACCCATTTATTTGCTACTCTGTTTCCTCTCTGTTCAGGCATTGGATCTTGCTCATTTTGCTTCATTCTACTTGCAGATCGTACCTGCAGTTACTGAGTTACTCGTTGCTCAATTTATGTGGCTAGATTATGATAACCCAACAAAGCCCATCTACCTATATATAAATTCACCCGGGACCCAGGTCAGTACAAGAAGTTTGATTACATATTGTTTGTTGGTGGTAGTTTTCTGGCATTATTTAGATAACCTACTAGTTACCTTTAACAAGCTACCTATTCGTTTTTTTTTTCCTTTTGCTTACGCCATGTAGAATGAGAAGATGGAAACTGTTGGATCAGAAACAGAGGCTTATGCCATAGCTGATACCATCTCTGTAAGTGATCTCACTAAAACTATCTATATTGTGATTATAAAATCATCTAATATTTTTATCTTCTGGCATATGTCAGATCACGAAGTTTCTTTTGCTGATTTTTATCACTTTTTTTTGTGGCGTAAAAGTATTGCAAATCAGATGTATACACTATCAATTGTGGCATGGCGTTTGGTCAAGCAGCAATGCTTCTTTCTCTCGGGAAAAAAGGTTATCGTGCCGTACAACCACATTCATCAAGTATGTTTCTATTCTCTAAAGTACTTGTACACTCTAACTTTGCATTTAGATCAGAATAAACATATTTAATACCTCTTGCCCAATTGTGTAAGCTTCTAAGTTTTGATGGTTAATGGTGCAGCAAAATTATATCTGCCAAAAGTAAACAGATCGAGTGGAGCTGCCATAGACATGTGGATAAAGGTGGCGGTCACATTCTTATACCCTTTTATGTAATTCCCCTCAAATTTCTTCGCCTGGACTGTAATGAATAATCCTCTGGCAGGCCAAGGAACTTGATGCAAATACCGAGTACTACATCGAGCTGTTAGCTAAGGGAACAGGGAAATCCAAAGAGCAGATCAACGAGGACATCAAGCGACCTAAATATCTCCAAGCACAAGCAGCCATTGACTATGGAATTGCAGACAAGATAGCTGACTCGCAGGATAGTTCCTTTGAGAAACGGGTAACTTTCAAATTATACTTTACATTCACCCAAAACCAAGTCATCTTTGTGTTGCCTTCATTCATGCTAAAATGGAAAATATATCTGGGTTTAGGATTACGATGGGACTCTTGCCCAGAGAGCCATGAGACCTGGAGGAGGCAGCCCAACAGCTCCAGCTGGACTAAGATGATCAATTCCCATTAAAAAAAAGAGGTTGAATCCCAATTTCCTAGTCACTCTGGAATATGTAGCTCTTACAATCTATAAGCAAACACATGTAGTAGTAACATACAAGAAGTGTTGGCAAAAAGGAAAAAAAAAAACATCAAAAGTTTTCTAGGTGAAAAATTATTTGTATTATACATGTATCTCTCTAGATGCAGGTTTCTCACACTCTGAAAAAACCGAGTTTTGGGTTTTCGGGATTTTCAGAATTTTCAGAAAGAAGGGAAGAATCGGTTGAGGTTGTAAGGCAATGCGTAAAACTCTTCTGTTCGAGTATCAGTGTGGTAGACTCTGAATTTCTCCCACCAATGTCTTCCACTGTCTCTCCTCACCGAGGCATGTCCGTAGCTATGAGTACAGTCCAAAAAGAACGCTGCCATTATTCCAACTGTTGCAGCCGAAGAGAATATCACTTGCATTATCACATTGAACTGTCGTTGGCAACACCAAAACAAATCAGTACACAGGACAAGACAAAAAAAATGATAATGAAGGTTTCTGTTTCTTGAACACTTACAGCAGAAGTACGAGTGTGAACAGGTCCACGACCAGAGATGAATAGATATTCGGTGAAGTATTGTGCCACAGAGAGACCGATGAAGATGGAGAAGCCGAGGATAAATTTAGTCCTAAAGCTGTTTATGTTGCAGAATTGAAGAAGGCCAAGTCCGGCAGAAGCTGTTCACAAGATTCTCTGCTGAGTCTCAATCAAATTTATAGAAGCTAAAAGGATCAGAAAGAGTTAGGTTTTAAGTTGTACATACCAACATAGGCGAATAGAACACAGTACAGAGCTGCAAAGATCGGTAATGGTATCGATGCAAGAACAGCCCCAAACTTCCCTGTTTTTCACCAAGTTTAGCAGTCGATTGCAAAAAAAGAACAATTGTTTCGGAGTGACTTCATGGGTTTGAGCATTACCAAAAATGGAGAAGAAGATCATGAAACCTGCAGCTATCTGGACCACTCTTCTGCTCCCAACCTTCGTTAATCCTAGAAGCCCTGTATTTTCACTACAAATGACAAGAACAAACAAAAACACAGTTTAAAATCTGGAATCCGAAAACCGCGACAGAGCGGAAGAGAATGTTTCCATTACACCAAAGCTGTGGAACCAGTTGCTGTCCCAAACAGTCCACCCAGCAAAACGCCTATGCCCTGTTTTTATTCAATTCCCACATAGCACACACATTGGATTCACATACTAACATTCTTGAAATCAAATCTTAATAACAATGAATCCATTTTACCTGCCATCCAATGCCACGACTAAGCACTGAGGGAGGGATATGAGTTGCGCTACCAAATCTTGAAGCGGCGATGAAGGAACCTGTCGTCTACTCCATTGAAGAAATATAACAAAAAAGAAGATCTTTTAGGAAGATAAAATTCCTTCTGTGAACCAATAATCTGAACTGAAATGGTGACAAAACCTCTACAATCGCCACATAAGTAGCTGCCATCATTGCGAATGCATCACTTGCATGAAAACTTGGACGTCCCCATTGCAATGGATATGGAATTCTCACCCTAACAAAGAATGAAAAAGACTGTCAAGAGAACCCTGTGTTTGTTTCTGAAACAGAGGAGATCCAGTGAAAGATGGAAGATTATCAGACCATGGAGAAGCACTAATGAGACCAGACCGGTCTGTTCGACAACTGAGCTGTGTATTATCCGGTCTTTTGTCGTAAGCTCCAGCTGCTGTCAAAATCTCTGCGTATGCCCAGACGATAGCTATTGTGAACAGAACAGCGAATTGCTCGCATATAGATCTCTTACACTTAAACAAGTGAGGAAGATACTGACAACATTCATACAACCATTGTCAGAGATTCAGAAATGATAAGGTTTTATATAAAATCTCACGAAATTAACCGAAACCTGAGATAAAATTATCAGTATGATCAACGCTGGGAGTCCAATTTCTATACATCTCGCAAGCTGCAACAGAAAGAGTACTATTTAAGCTGCGCTCAACAAACAAACAAAACAAAAAACTTAAATAGTACCAATTCGGGTTTTTTTTGGCATGTCTACCTGAGGAAACGCGAAGGCGACGAGGCCAACAGCGGTGAGAATCACGAGAGGAGCAGCCGAAAGAGGAGTAAGAAACCTGAAGTAGTTTTATAAAAACAAAAGCAAAAACTTAAGGGCTTTAGGTTTCTTGTTTCACAAGTAACAACAATATACATGAGCTTTTATCTTTTTTTTCTCCGAACCTGACCAAGATCCTCCACAAACCGAAGAAACCCATTATCATATGAATTATAGAAGCAATGATAAGAGCTCCTTGAATAGCTCTCATAGTCTCTTTAAATCTCTGCAATTAACACATTCACTAATTTACATTTTTAGATTTGAAACTTTAAATGTTTTCAAAGAAGAAGAAAAATGGATTGTGATTAACCAAATGAGGATGGAGATAGTAAGTGAAGCGATAAGAGTAAGTGATGTAAAGAGCAGGGATGACGTAAGCATAAGAAGCTCCCATGACGACAGGAAGTCGACTTCCGAACAAACTCTGCAACAACGTGTTTATTCCCGACACGAACAACACTGTGTTTATGACTTCCGCTTTCTCCACCTGAAAAAATGAAGTCGTCTGCTATCAATTTATATAATTTAGGGAGAATTTTCTTTTCGTGAATTTGAAGTTATTAGATGAGATTAGGGTTAATGCTTACGTCGCCACCACCCATTATAGGGACGAGTATGGAAGGTATGATAACAGTAGTTCCAAGCATTACAATGTAATGTTGAAACCCAAGAACTATTCCTTCCGCTGCACCATGCATTAATCATATAAAACCATATCATTTTCTCCAACATATATTTGTTGACAAATAAAAATGAGAATTTGGTGACGACTAATATGTCATATGAATAATGGTCATGGTAATGTTTGAACTGAACAAATTTTGTTAAATAATCACAAAACGCTCAAAAACTAGGTTTATAGACCAAGAAGAATTAGTACTTTTAACACATACAGCATCATTAAAACTAGATGGTATATATGTTCATCACTATCGGTAAAACATAAATTCATTTTCTTAAAAATTAAACATAATTCGACAGCTAGCTAATATAACACAATTAACACAGAATTAACAAAAATCTAAACGAAAAGAAAAATGCATACGCCAATTTGGAGAGCTCGAGACACAAAATTCGACTCCGGGAAGCTGATCTTTAACTGGAAATGGTGCAAAATCATCGGTCTTTGTCGCCATATCTCTTTGTCTATCTCTCTCTCTTCGAGAATGGCTACTCTTTTGTGATGAAAGCTATAAATTCAAATTAAGGCTTTGCTTAAAACGGATTCAAAAGTGCTAAGCGTTAGGCGGGCAACTTTGTTGACTCTTACTTGCTCTTTTATTTTCAGTCTTTGTGTTCTCGTGCACGTAATTAACACTAATGCAAAAATGTAGACAAATGAACCGGATTAAACCACTAGATTGACTTAACCAGATTTTCCCACTTGTCTATATTATGTGAATAATAATAGAATATGATGTCTAATATTACTAAGTCTTTAAGTAGCAAATTATTCTCATCTTGATGCCAAAAAAGTATACAACTAACTCCATCCACCACTTAAACATTCTCTTTTACCAATATCAAGAATGATGTATAACTCATGACTAATTGGTATGACTTATTGTTGGCTTGATCAAAATAAGATAAAACAATAGAATTATCACTTAAAAATCCAGAAATATTAACGAGGTTTATTTCATCTTCCTCGATTTATATATATATCGGATTAATATATCATCATGTTTATGAATTGTTGTCGGCAAATTTTTTTTGATGAATTATTGTTGTTGTTACTTGAATTATTATGGCAAATACATATTTCACATCATAAATCTTTTTGGGCTCATGAAATGTTAATTTGGTAAGTTAATCATTTATTTGGATGGAATTAATTGCTAATTTCTATTTTGACTATAATTTGAAACTTTCTGGACAAATTATTAATTTAAACCCGAATATGAAATTATTTTGTATTATAAAATCATAAAAGTTTAGGCCAAGTTAGAGAAGGTTCTTTCTATTTACTGAACATTTGAAGAAAATACAAATCAGATAAAGATATATTCAACGAATTTTTTTTTATATTTTAACGAAATTATTCTTATGATGTTTTTATATCAAATTTGGGAGATATTCAATAAAATTCCAAATTATACAACTTTTTGTTGTGTTTAAAAATGTGTGTAGATTTCGAAAACTCTCAAAATATGGCAAACTACCACCATCTCCACAAGTTTTTTTGAGTTAGTGGTAGTCAACTAGATATTTTTCAGAAATAAATAAACAATAGAGAAAATAGCATGGATAAAATGAAAAATAGCATTTTTGAAAACAATTATCGCAACTACCACCTCCACCACACATTTTTGAATTTTATCTAGCAAAAATTGTGTATTTTACGCATCAATTTTTTTTAATCATCATCAAAACTAAACCATTCAAACATTAACCAAATTAATCATGTAAATATGATTTGCGTGTTAGTTTTGATAAATACATTTCTAATTTGACTATCATATTAATACTTAAGAATAAGTATATCATTTGGGGAGTTTAGTTTGAATTTTTTTTTTTATCATTAGTAAAATTTGAATTTGTAAATATTTAGACAATTTACAAACTAGATTCAGAATATAAATAATTAGCGTAATTACTAATTAAGCTTGCTGTAATTAAAAAAAAAAACGCGTTTTGAGGCCGTTTGTGAAAAACGCGTTTAGAGCTTAATTGGTCAAAGCGGTTTGCCGCATCAGAATTGACGGAGGTCCGTTACTCAGAATCCTTGTATTCGCATTAACCCTAACTTTTTCTGCTTCTCAAGCGTCTCGAAATCTGAATCCAGATCAAACAAAATTGGTATTGCGAAGATCGATTCTTCCTCAAAACTCTGATTTTCTTTGTGAATTCATCTGTTTCTTCTTCGCCGATTGTGTATATTCTCAGCATGAGATTAGGTTTCATTTTCAAAGGAGGAATTTTTCTAGGGTTTGAGTTTCGACATCTTTCAGTGATGTGAAGTTGGTGTTTGCTATTGCGTCTGAATTACTTTTGTGTTTTAGTTTTGATAATCTAGGGTTTCCACGGAACAGGGAATTAGGGTTTTACTGCGATTAAAGATTCTGTGATATTTGGTGAATTGTGACTTACAATTGAAGAAAAAAGTTGACATTTTTATGTGATTTAGTTCTGATTGGGTTTCGTGACATATGGTTTGTTTTGATGCAGAACGGACTTGCTTTGACACAGCAGACCGTGACTGCATCTCGAAATCGGGATGGGTGCTCCAAAGCAGAAATGGACTCAAGAAGAAGAATCAGCTTTGAAGTCTGGAGTTATAAAGCATGGACCTGGTAAATGGCGCACAATTCTCAAAGATCCTGAATTTAGCGGAGTCTTGTACCTGCGTTCCAATGTTGATCTTAAGGTCATGATTACTTCTTATCCTTTGTGTCAGCTTTGATAATCCTGCTGGGTTTTGTTTGTGATTATGTATGAGTTTTTATCTGATTTGTTTATTGTATTGGGACAGGACAAATGGAGAAACATGAGTGTCATGGCGAATGGGTGGGGATCGCGCGAAAAGTCTAGGTTAGCTGTTAAAAGGACACTCTCCCTTCCTAAACAGGAAGAGAACTCACTAGCCCTAACCAATTCTTTGCAAAGTGATGAAGAAATGGTGGATGCGACCTCTGGACTGCAAGTTTCTTCTAATCCTGCACCAAGGAGACCTAATGTAAGGTTAGAAATATGTCTATTTTGTATTGAAGAGGAAATGCTTTGTTGTATATCTCCGAGTGGTATTTCTGAAGTTGGATACATCTCAGAATATATGGTTTGCCGTCACTTCTTTTTTTTCCGGAAAGTCGATAAGTGTTACATTACATTTATCTGATATGAGTTTGTTTTCTCACCTTCTCAACCTCTGTTTAAATTGTCTTTACTGGTTTAGTACCTTTATCCTCCCTTTTGAGCCTTTTACCGTTAGCAACTTAGCATGCGAGCTGTTTGCTCCATCTTATCAGTGTGGCTTTATGATTGTGAAATTATGATGAGGATTTTAGTGTGTAAAGTCCCACTTATACGTAGATGTTTGTATCAGTCAAATCTATCGTTATAGACAAATTGTAACTTTTTGAAATGTTGCAGGTTGGATAGCCTTATAATGGAAGCAATTTCTACCCTGAAAGAGCCTGGTGGCTGTAATAAAACAACAATTGGTGCCTACATTGAGGTATTCTGTTTTCATTATTGCATCTTTTTTCTTTTTTCATTGACAATATGTATTGTTAAATTGTTACTTGCAGCTAAATCGCATTGTGTTACCTTTCAATTTGAATGATCCTCAGTGGGTTGATATGTTTTCAACTAGAATTTTGTGAAGTTATTGCGGAGGAAAACCAAAGTATAGCCTTTGGTTGTGTCAATAGAATATATTCCTCAATATAAGCAACGCATGTGGCAGTTTTATTGAAAGGCAAGGGGTGACATCTTTATCTTCTCCTCTCCTGAATAGACAGACGAATGTGCATTAAATATTCTGACTGAAATGGCTCCTGAGTATTTCTGTAATTACTAGATTTATTGTGGTGGCATCTGCTTAAGTCGATATATTTGTGGGAATATCATAAGAGTAGATTCTTTAGTTAATTCAGAAACACGCCAATGACATAACTTCTTTTATCTAGTTATTTGATTCAATCATGGGAAATTTTGAGTTCAATTTTGTACGATTACTGCTTTTAAGATACTTTGTTTTAGTTCCTTGTAAAAGACTGATTTAGAGGACTGACTGTTCCCGTGATCCTATTATTCGTTTGTGTAGGATCAATATCATGCTCCAACGGACTTCAAACGGTTGTTGTCTACCAAGCTAAAGTACTTGACAGCTTGCGGTAAACTTGTGAAGGTATTATGTGCATATATTTTTGGTCTTTTGCATCGTATGTATGACTTTTTGTGCAATCAATTTGCTTCATGGTTGTTAGTAGAACAGGGACATATCCATCATCAACTGCAGCTTGCGAGGTTTATTGATCTGGGTTCTCTCTTTTACAGGTTAAGCGTAAGTATAGAATTCCAAACTCCACTCCGTTATCTTCCCACAGGAAAAAAGGTCTGGGGGCGTTTGCAGGAAGACAGAGGACTTCTTCTTTGCCTTCACCTAAAATAGACAGAGATGAAGTGAATTTTCAGACAAGGTCACAGATCGATACAGAGTTAGCCAGAATGAAGAGTATGAACGTACATGAGGCGGCAGCAGTTGCAGCACAGGCAGTAGCAGAGGCAGAAGCTCTCATGGCAGAGGCTGAGGAAGCTGCAAAGGAAGCAGAGGCAGCAGAAGCCGAAGCCGAAGCAGCTCAAGCTTTCGCTGAAGAAGCTTCAAAGACACTGAAAGGAAGAAACAACTGCAAAATGGTACAAACATAAACACATTCTTTTATTACAACACATGAAATCTATGACAGAGACTTTGCAAATCTCAAAATGGTTGTATTGAAAATGGGATTCGACAGATGATCCGTGCCTGAGGTGATGGAAAGCGAGAGAAGAAGAAACTAAAAGTGAAGAGAGAGTAGAGAGAAGCCTAGTGTTTGTGTTGTTGATGATTCTCTCTACTTTAGAAGGTTTTTTTAGTAGTAAGCAATCAAATATGTTTGTCAGTATGTCGCTCTGACTCTTTTGATTCCTGCACAACTTTGGGAAAAAAAAAAGTTTTATTTGCTCTTCTCGCTCTCCAAGATACAACTATCGTTAGTAAAATGTGTATAATTTATAGATCGATCTATCTATGCACTATCATGCTTATTGCCAATGAGCATTTTAATTATGTATGCATTATCAATTAATAGTAGTACTGTTTTCTTAGATATAAAAACACAGATTTTGAGGCACTATATAGATATGCATCGTTTTCTTTAATGATTGGTAAATCGAAAACAGCTGAAGTTACTTCCACTCTTATTACTTACCAAAAGTGCTTGAAAAACTCACCACTATATCCATCTGGACCAGAGGATTTACCAACTGGGAGGGCAAAGAACTCAGCTTTGATCTCGTTTGTTGAGAATTGCTTGCCGGTCTAGTCCACTCCTTTGAAGGGACTAATCGAGAGAGAGATACCAAATATTTTTAATATTAAGGTGATGAGTAGTAGTGTGATTTTCTTATCGGCGCAAACTTTTTACCAAAGACTAATATACATAACACAAAGGAATATACAATCTTTCTTACTGTCACAGCAGCTAATTAAGGTCAACAAGAACCCAAAATATTGGTGGCTTAGATGAATGTTAGCATCATAAGGAACGAACAAAAACAAATAAACACATGCGTTGGCTCGAGCCGCAACGCTTCAATCAGTTTCTTCTTCTTCTCCACACGTTCAGGACAAATCAACTTCTTTTTCACAAGTTCATCCGAAATAACCTTCTTTTTTCTATGTTCAGTTAACATCAACTGTTTAAAACAAAAATAAAAATGGTGTTAGTTAATAAATTCGAAAAATAAATAAATAAATGATGTAGAAAACCACATAAAATTAGAAAGTCTCACTTCCTTATGTAAAAGCAGCTGACAATCTCGACAATGTTGAGCTGTTTCCTCCATTTTCACCTTCAATTTAATATATGATAAAGCACCTACAATTACATGATAGTAATTATTAAACCTATATGTGATGGTCATAAAAAAAGCAATAGCTTTGGTCGTACGTACCACGTTTGTTATTAGCCCGGTGATATTGTTTTGCTATCTCAAAATACATGGCAGCTTTCTCCAAGTGAAATTTCTCCTCTTGTTCAATGCGCTCAAGCGTCTGAAGAAGAATAAAACCATTGAACACACACAATGAAACAGAAGAGTAAAACCACATAATACAATTATTATCAAGAATAAATAAACGAGTCTTAAGAAACAGGATCAATATGAAATCTGATGATACCTTGTTTAGCAAGTCTATTGCTTTTTGGAGACCATGAATCGGATTGCTACGTTTCCAGGTGAGCCAATTCATAAGCATAGTAACAGAGTAACAGACGATGGAGTATTCCACTCTGATCCCACTAATCAAAATCCTATCCGAAGATATCAAATTTCGTAATCTTGATCTTAAAACATTAGAATAAGATCCAAGTCTAATCTAATAAGGGTAAATTTCTACAATAACTAGCGTGTAATCCCGAGATTGACGCACAAGCCAGACGGAAGCGATAGCAATATCTATAAATCGGAGTCGAAACTAGGTTTAGGGTTTCCGAATCCAGATTGTACCAAAAACGAAAGTGTTTATATATATATATATGCCCACTTTTGATTTTTTGGGTTTCCCTTTTCTAATAAAAAAAGTTAGATGGATTTAGGATCGAACCGGACTTAGGATTAAACCGGTTCAGGGTTATGTTGCGTTGCCTGCTTTTGAATGTGAAACGTCAATCTGGTGATCCCCTTGAACGGTTGAACCTACTACATCATGAATACTCATTACGGCCCAACTGGTGAGTTAATTGCTTGCTAGGCTTATATTCGTCACACATATTAATGGGCTTTATAATTTCGGCCCAAATATATTTTATTTTTACTAATTGCGCTCTGTAATTATTTTTGAAAAATTAGGATGATATTTGAGAGTTCCTAGGTCAAGCAAATGAAAAGGCAGTTGTGAAATCAACGGAGAATTCCTTAGCGAAAGGTACATTTCGTTTCTGTAAAAGTTTTTACAAGTCTATACTTTGATCTTCATTGTTCATCGAGCTTTTCTATGGTTTTTTACTTTTAGAATATTCTTGTAGGTTTTTGTTGTGCTCCTTCATGGCTGAAAGTGAGGTTGTGGTGTTGTGTTACTGGAATTGTCATATCAAGCATGGCCCTGATGGCGTCTACTTCGAAGGATCGACTCCTAAAGAGATGAGAGTCAAGAAAAATACTGACTTTAGCAGATTTCTTGACGAGCTTTATCTAATTACTGGATTTGATAAGCAAAAATCAAAGCTTGAAATAGTCGCTAGGTACCCTGTTGTTCAATCACCCAATAAGTTTCGGTATCTACTTCACCCTGTGGCGAACGACGCTACTTTGGAGAAAATGCTTGAAGTTCCAAGCAATCACCCTTGTATTAAAAATGTCAAATTTTACTTGGAAGCTAAACCAACTTCTAATGATCCTCCTGCTCCTTGGTCATTATCGCCAATGGGTATTAATCCCCAGAAAAGACAGAAGATCACAAAACAAGAGGTGGGGGATACAAATTCAGGCTCAGGCTCAGGTTCAGGATCAACACCGCGTCTTGTGTCTGGTTTGTGGCTTGAAGATGATACAATGCGTGTGGGATTGTGTTTTAAAGATATAGATGAGATGAAGAAGGGATTGGACTGGTGGTCTATTAAGAGGCAGAAGAAATGTTTAGTAAGAGAGACGGATAAGGACATGTATGTGTTTGAGTGTGAAAGATGGCAATGCAAGTGGTCAATTTGTATAGCTAGGAGAGAAGAAGACGGTCTTTTTGAGATAACCAAGTGTAGTGGTTCACATACTTGTCACCCTGAATCTCCTTCACTAAATGATTTTGATGCCGAGCGTGTAGCATTTGAGATTGAACGTGTGGTCAGGGTACAGCCCATGCTCTCAATTGCACAGTTGGATAAGTGGTGGAAAGAAAAGTTTGGCTATGCCCTTGATGCATTCGAGGAGGTGGATCATGATCCACAAGGAGTTTTGGAGGATGCTAAAGTGAAAGCTATCAAAAAAGTCTTTGGAGATTGGGATCAGAGTTTCAGATTCATGCCCAAGTTAATGTTTGTGCTTCACTCTTCTAATGGCCTTCTCGTGGACTGGCAATATGATTCCTTGCCTAATATTCCTGAACACGCCTCCTTTCGCAGCGTGTTTTGGTCATTTTCACAGTCTATTCAAGGGTTCCAGCATTGTAGACCTCTGATCGTTGTGGACACCAAAAACTTGGGAGGTAAATACAAAATGAAGTTGATGATTGCCTCGGCATTTGATGCAGTCAATGAATATTTTCCGCTTGCCTTTGCGGTTACTAAAGAAGTATCCGTCGATAGTTGGCGTTGGTTTCTCTCTAGAATCAGAGAGAAGGTAACACAGAGGCAAGGCATTTGCCTCATCTCCAGTCCTGACCCCGACATACTCGCTGTTATTAACGAACCCGGGTCTCAGTGGAAAGAACCCTGGGCTTATCACAAGTTCTGTCTGGATCATCTGTGCTCCAAATTCTGTAGCGTTTTTCCAGGCTTCGACTACAACTTGCATTATCTTGTGAGTGAGGCTGGGTCGTCAAGTCAGAAGGAAAAATTTGATTCCAACATGAAGGAGATCAAGGAAAAGAATCCAGAAGTTTGGAAATGGTTAGACCAATTTCCTCCACATCAGTGGGCTCTGGCTCATGATGATGGTTGGAGATACGGAATCATGAAGATACGTACCAAAGCTCTTTTTGCTCATTGTAAAAGATTTCAGAAAGTTGCAATGGCAGGGGGTGTGATGCTTATGTTTGGTGAGCTGAGAGATGCGTTTGACGAATCTTTTAGCCGTAGCCGTGGTTCTCTTAACCGCGGCAATGTGTACACAGAACATGTCATGGAGAAGCTTGAAGAGTTCACTAAATATTCTGTTACTTGCGTTGTAACACCGTTGGAAAGAGATGCATTTGAGGTCTCAACGGTTTCGAAAAAGAAGAAACGATATATGGGTGTGGTGGATGTCTCAACCCGCGGGATTGTTCAGTTGAATGACTCAACATGCACTTGTGGAAAGTTTCAAAGAAACAAGTTCCCATGTCTGCACGCTCTAGCGGTCTGTGATAATCTGAAAATCAACCCGTTGCAGTATGTAGATGACTGTTACACTCTTGAACGGTATCACAAAACGTATGCGGCTACATTTTCTCCTGTTCCGGAGTTATCAGCTTGGCCGGAAGCTTGTGGAGTTCCAATATTGCTTCCTCCAGTCATTGAGTCGACTCCACCTAAAGTATCAGGTAATTAAGTTCCGGAGATATATATTGTTTATTGTTGTCTCTTATTTTTCTGACACCATGTTTGTGTTATCTTGTAAAAGGAAAAGGGAAAGAGATCGAGGATGATCATCTTGAAGAAGACGAAGAAGAAGATGGTGATGATGATGATAATGATGAGGAAGATGATGATGATGATGAGGAGGAGGACGAGGAAGATGATGAGGAGGAGGACGAGGAGGACGAGGAAGATGATGATGTTGATGATGACGAGGAAGATGAGTGGTAATGTTGCTTGTTGCGTAATGAGATTTTAAGATAAGATCAGTAGGATTCATTCATGCCCTAAACAGCCTTTTGAAGTTTTGGTTTGCTTCCTTCTCGTTGGAAAGACTTTGGGTCGAACCAGACTTAGGATTAAACCAGAGAATCTTTTTCAAGTCCATCTTTCAAATTTTCAGTTAAGGTTTCGGAATTGCCATGTACATACACATATTAGAGAATCTTTTCCAAGGCCATCTATGTTTTGCTCTATGGTCCATTACGAATTATAACTTGGTTCTAAGTTCTAGCTTCTAAACCAACACACAAATCCAAAGAAAAAGGTAAAAAGAAGAGAGTTGGTACCAAAAAAAAAATTGGAGGCAAACCAGAAAAAAATGGACTTTACTCAAAACCAAGGAACACAACCTCAGATTCGAAAGCCATTGTAGTGTTCACTATTCACTTTACAGCCAAAATAAGATCTTAAAACTCACTTTAAAGTGCTACAATTTTTTTTGGGCAACCATCGTAGCAACAATACAACACAAATCGAGTTTAACTCTGCTCATTTCATTAATCCTGACTAGTCTATACCGGAGGATTTGGGTATACTTTGGGTTTTGGTTTCACTTCGATTTCATTAACACTTCGAACAAAGATGGCATCTGGTTCATGCCTGCAAAAACACAACACTCAGTATCAGTTAAAAGAGAGATCAATCCAAAAGCAAACATAATAACATATCAATGCTATCTGTAAGTCTCAATGTCCACAGGTTGAATGTTTCTATATGCCTGATGAGATCTAATGCATCCAACTCAAACTATAATTCCGTCAAAGAGTTAAGAACTGAAAGATTAAAGACTGAGATTCTTACGGTTTGTCTCCCTCTTCAAACGTGTAACTAGAAGCAACAGCCAGTAATCCACCATCTCGGCTGAATGACAGCGCCGCAATACTTGTTGGATACTTAGAGTACTACAAACCAGAAGGAGCAATTTAATGCTGCGTCTCAAAGAACATTATAGAACATTGAAAGAAATAAATATCAAAATCTCTCATCTTTCCTATACCTGATATAGCCTCTTCTTGTTGTTACCATCCCAAATGTTGACGAAACCATCACAACCTCCAGAAGCAAAAGTGCCATAACTACAATTTAAAAGAACTTCAGGATATTCGAAGCGATAGCGTTGGTCTACCGAGACAGATAACTTAAAGTTTTAAATTTTGCCCTTAGGTTCCATATATTCAGTGGATCCCAGAACATACATTTACAGAATTTGTTTTCAAATGAAATGATAGCATTCACAATACTCTGAACTAGCCCTCAAAGTTCATATATTCTCCACTAGATTTTCATCTTCGCCATTAAAAAAATTAGTTAAGTCTTGAAGCAATCAAATATCTGAAAGGAAACAATCAGGTTTCCTTAAGATAAGACTTACATCGGATGGAAAGCAATTGCATTTACAGGGTAGACAATGTCCCTTCCATCCTCTGATTTCCGGTGACATTTGAAAGCATATCTGAAAAGAAGTTCAAATATAGTTATCGAATAAATAAACAGTAAAAGGAATATCTTATCAGAAAATGCTCAGCAAGATTGAACAAAACGTCATAGACTGCCATAGTTGGTCAAAAAGAGGTAAAAGACACATTAGGAACATACTTTTTAGCTTGAGCAGCTTCTGATAGATCAAAGAACTCCATTGACACCCTCCCTTCAACAGAGCTAAGGGCATATCCTGCAAAGTATTATCAAAATCAAAAGTGTGGAAGAGGAAATTGAGGCTACCGAGTATACTTGGAACAGGAAGAAAGCAACTTTGACTGTTGGAAAATGAAAACTACTGAAAGCAACATATCAGCCATTTAACCTGTTCCGTTGGGATAACAACGCACACATCTTGTCTGGTATTTAAGTGAAGACTCTCTTCTTTGCTCAGGCTGAGACATATTTCTGAGATCATAAATGTTGACATGCCTTCCTGCTGTTGCGACCACCAAACGATTTCCAACTAAAGAAAGAGAGTTAACACGCTCAGGTTGCTGATATGTTCCAATCTGTGTGTGCTCCGTCCCACTAGCACCTCTTGGATCCCAACATTTAATAGTTCTATCCCAACTTCCAGTGATCACTTGCCCTATAACATCACATAAACAAAGTGTTCAAGCAAAACTATGGGATCACTAGAAACACCTAACGCCGAACGCTGATTTTTCTGAGTTCCAAATAAAGTTGCAAAGGTAAAGAATATATATGCTCTCAGGCCTCAGCACACATGCACTAAAAGTTTTCATTTCCCGTCTCATGGAAAACCCTTTTCGCTCCGCTTAGCCCTATCCCCCTCTAGGAGTATTTTAGTGATAGGTTCTATAGGAACTGGACGATCCTATTTGGTCAAATACCTAGCGACAAACTCCTATGTTCCTTTCATTACAGTATTTCTGAACAAGTTCCTGGATAACAAGCCGAAAGGTTTTTTTATTGATGATATCGATATTGATGATAGTGACGATAAAGCTATTATTAACATAGTTCATCAACGTTAAATAAAGCACTAAGTATGAACATGGTAAGAGCTCAATCAAGCATCACGAACATCATACACCAACCTGCAGCATAAGAATACTCAACACATCGAACAGGTTTATCATGCGTCCCCAAAACGTCCTCTTTGCCAGCATTGAAGTCAATTCTGAAGTATAACAAGAGAAACCCACTTATTAAGAATCCACAAACCATTTCATAAACACGAGTGTACACTCCTACATGACCAATTTCACTATATCTCAACTAAACTTTTGAATCGAATCAGATAAAATTAGAAGAGAGAACAAATTAATTATACCGTCGGACTTTAGTATCGGCGCAAACACTGAATCCAGAAGAATCATCATGGAAGCAGCAATCGAGTACCGCTCCACCATGTTTGAACTCCCCTCTCATCAAATCGGCGTTCGCATCATACAATCTTACACTCTTCGATCCAATCAAGAGATCAAAGCATCAGATTAGAGAAATCAAACTTCAAACGAGGAATAAATTCAATGTTTGAGAGAAGATTGGGGAGTTCTAACCTTATCCCATGAAGAGACTAGTAAATGATCGCTGCTATTGGAAAATCGAAGATTAGAAATCCCATCGGACGGTGGATTCGAGAGCTCGCGACCAATCGCCGGCAACAAAGTCATCCAGAAAAATACGAATTTTTAGGGTTTATGCTAAGAGAGAAAGAGGGAAGTAGATTTTTTTTAAAAATAATGATTGTCTAAACATATACGCAAAAACGAAAACTATACACGATAAATATATTTATCGTAAAACAATTTCGTTATGTGACATTTAAAATAATCAATTTTAATTTAAATAATAAAATGATATAAGAAATTGTTTCAAATAACAAACAAAAGGAATTGTATTTTTTTTTTTTTTTTAATAAACCCTATCGGCTGATCCGGTCGGCCTCGGTAGGAACGCACCGAGGTGCTACAGAGTAGATTTCTCCCGATCCAGGTAGAATTGGACCACCACACTGCATGATCCGAGTTTGAAATACTTTCCGACTAATGTCAGGGGTAGTCAGGCGGCCTGCATTTCTATCTACCAGGTAAACCAGTTGGGCCTAGGCCCAACTGATAGACTTCTCAAACAAATGTGTTTTTGTTTCCAGAGAGAATCGAACTCGGATCTGGGAGTTTCACCCTTCACATAAAAACGAATTGTATTTATCCTCGATGGACCGTATTTAAAAAATAAAAAATAATTTGCAAGATTTCAAAAATTCAAAGACCGTCTAAAAGTTTATATCTTGGATGATGTGTTTGATCTGACCTAATGACATGTGACCGAATAAGCCTAATCATGGCCACATCACACTGCATAAACACGTCGGTTTAGTAAAATCTGGTCTAGTTTTTGGCGTATCGGGTACTCTTCTTGCTATTGGCAAAAGATATATGGTGGCTAAATTGGCCATGTGTCCAAGGAATTTAACAATTAGTAATATTTTTTTTATTCTTATGTTTGTTAAGAAAATTTAATTCCTTAAAATCCTTTTCCATTATGTAACTAATAGATATTTTTTTGCAATAAATTGAAGTTTATCAATTAATGATTATTTAAGATTTTTTCCCACTCAGGAACTGATATTATAGTGACTGAGAAAAATATATGATATTTTATTAATGATTGAGAAAAATATGATAATTATCAAGATAAAAAGTAAACCAATCAGACGTGTACGCGTTTGATTTAATGCGTGTCCCGCACGGCTTGTAACTCACACATTAGATCATAAAAAAGGGTTTTATTGGCATTGAATAGCAGCTTTTAACCTAATTGTATTTTTTTAGGGTTAACCTTTTTTTGAAGTGTCGTTTTTTCTCACATTTTTCACTATATGGAAATTTTTAATATTTTACTTTTTTTTACTTACTGGATTTTTTACACTTAAAATAGAGATCGAGTTAACGTAGAATCTCCCGAGATTCTATTTTCCTATTTTTACTCTGTTCCCTATATTCAATTGTTATCCCAAAACCTAACAGTGTTACCGACTAAACTAAAACTAATATAAATAGGAGAGTCTGAGAGAATACGACAGTCACGAAACACCTTGACTTTTCTTTTGTTAAGCGCTCCAAGTTTCTTAGGGATTAAGAAAAAAGGGTGTGAAACATAATCGGAGAAGTATGGATCTCAAGACACTGAATCAATTTTCGCCGATGACAAAGCTTACCGTTCCGAAACACAAATTTAAGCAACTCAGGCGAGACGAGTTGAGATGTTACGAACGATCAAAACGAAAGTTTTCTCTTCATGATGATGAAGATCCTTCTTCGAAACGCAGATGCTTAGAATACCTGCGTGAGAAAGCAGACGACGTCGTTTTTGTTGAGCCTCTTAGGTTGAAAAGTAGTGAACTGTCAATACGACAGCGTTCTACTAGTGATGAAGCTCCTTCTCAGACGGTGAAACACAAAATCTCAGACGATGACGAGATTGCATACGATGCCGTTTTCTACAAGCCTTGGTTGGATAATTTACGACTAAAACGACAGCGTTTGGGTGATGATGAAGATCCTTCCTCTAATTCTTCTTCTCCGTCTGAAGATGATATCGCTGCTCTCATTCTCATCCAGATTTCATGTGATAAACGGCAACCGCAAACACAATCTCAAACGCAACCGCAACCGCAACCGCGGCCGCAATCGCAAACTCAAACAACTCAACCGCAGACGCCGCCGAAGTTTGATTTGTTCGAGTGTAGTGTCTGTGGAAAAGGGTTTCCTTCGTATCAAGCTTTAGGTGGTCACAAGGCCAGCCACAGGGTTAAGCAGCCACAACCGCTTATCGAAAACGCAGGCACAGACGCTGGAGAGAAAACGCGGTCAAAGATGTTGTCTCCGTCTGGGAAAATCCACAAGTGTGATATATGTCATGTTGTGTTTCCCACGGGACAAGCACTAGGTGGACACAAACGCCGTCACTACGAAGGCGTTCTCGGCGGTCACAAACACGGTAATGACGAGGTTGTTCTCAAGTTAAGTCCCAATAACAATGGGAGCGTTGTAACAAAAGTGTTAGATCCAGGACAGAGTTTAATGGTAAGTGACAACGTTCTCAGCGGTCACAATGTGTTGGATCTAAAGCTGAGCGTAAGTGAAAGTGACGGAGTTCTCGGCAGTGACAAAGGCAGTCAGGACGAGGTTGTTCGTGACGAAGACAAGTGTAGTCCTAGTAATGGGAGTGTTGTAACAAATGTGTCGGATCCAGAGCAGAGCCTGAGGAGATTGATCGATCTTAATAACCCGCCGTCACCGGAGTTTGATGCATCTGGAGGCGGAGACGTGGAGGAAGTTGAAAGTGCAATGATATTAGCAAACAAGCCTTGACAAGAAAAATGTTTTATTCAATACTAATTAGTAATTACTTTGTGATTTTGATTTTGATTTTTATTTTTTATATTCATAATATTCAACCATCCAGTTATCCTGGTTATTTTCATGGCACTATTGACAAAAATCCCTTAAAAGAAACAAAAACTTTATTGGGACATTGGCCCTCTTTTAGAGTAAGAAGAATCAATCGTTAAACCTTAAAAGAGTTGATACTCACTGGTGTAATATTAAACTTCAAGATTTGAAAAGGAATACATAACATAGAGATTTAAGCAAAAAGAGTTAATACTTAAAAACAGAGTAAATAATATACAATTTTATGTTAGTCCAGAAAGAAATAGAAACAAAGTTTGAATATTTATTTTGGCTTTTTGTTTTTCTGTGATAAAGACTTATTTGACTTTTATTTGGTTTAGGAATATACTTAAAGAATGGAAATCTTGCTTTATCTTAAAAGATTCTGATAAAGAGAACTTAACCGACTTTAAACTAATATATATATGAGTAAACCCTACAAAGTCTGGAATCTATACATACTAACAATTCAACTGTCGTTTGTACGTAACATTAACTCTCCCAAGTTTTTTTCGTAAGAAACAAGCAAAAGAAAAGGGTATCTGATAGATTGGAAGAAGAGGTAGTAATGGCTCGTACAACACAGTTGGAACAACTTTTAACGAAGGCGAATCAACTTTTAAAAGTGATAGAACCGATCGGGCTAGAAGAAGAAGGAGAAGAAGACGATGAGTGTGTTGAGATTGGGTTGGAGAGTTGTGAACAACAGTCAATACCAGAGCGTTTTGGTGATGCTAAAGATCCTTCTTCGGATCACAGAGTCCTAGAATCGATCCAGCGAGAAGAAGACGACGCCGTTTTGATTGAGCCTTGGTTGAAAAGCAGGGAACTGTCACAACGACAAGGTTTTGGTGATGACGAAGATTCTTTCGCGGAACACAGCTTCTTACAAGTAGAAGAGTGTTTTGGTGACGATGAAGATTCTTTCTCGGAATCGAACCGGCAAGAAGAAGAAGAAGAGAAAGAAGAAGCCCAGTTTTCAAACGACGACGTTTTCCTTGAGCTTTTGTTGGATGGTATTGAACGATCAAAACGAAAGCAAAATCGTTCTTCTTCTTCATCTCATGATGATGATGATGATGATTCTTCCTCTACACACACAGGTTTAGAATCGATCCGGCAAGAAGAAGAAAACATAGCCGTTATTAGGCCTTGGTTGGTTAGTGTAGCACCAAATCAACAGCGTTTTGGTGATGATGAAGTTCCTTCTTCTTCTTCTCTCTCTGAGGATGAAACTGCTGCTCTCTGTCACAAACGGCAATCGCAAACGCACACCCAACCTCAACCACAGATGCTGCCTAAGTCTGATCCCTTTAAGTGCAGCGTCTGTGGAAAAGAGTTTTCTTCATATCAAGCTTTAGGTGGTCACAAGGCTGGCCACAGGGTTAAGCCGCCTGTTGAAAACGCAACTGGAGAAAAAACGCGGCCAAAGAGGTTAGCTCCATCTGGGAAAATTCACAAGTGTTCTATTTGTCATAGATTGTTACCAACGGGACAATCCCTCGGGGGACACAAACGCCTTCATTACGAAGGTGTTCTCAGCGGTCACAAACGCAGCCAGGACGAGGAGGCTGGTTCCCAAGGAGACAAGTCGAGTCCTAATGGTAATGGGAGTGTTGTAACACATGTATCTGACCCAAAGCAGAGCCTAAAGGGATTGATAGATATTAATAAAGTGCCATCGCCGGAGTTTAATGAACCCGTGGACAAAGACATAGTGGAGGTTGAAAGTGGATTGTTAGCAAACAAGCTTCAACAAGAAAGAGGAATTACCAATACTAACAGGATAAACGGTTTTCATTTTTTTAACTTTATGTAAACTTATTAACACACTTATGTTATTGAATTCTCTCACATAGATAGATGTCAATACTAGATTAGGTTTACTTGATGACATCTATCTATGTTGATGTTATCTCATTTCCTGATGTGGGACAGTTTTGGACTTTTTTATACAAGTATTATAGAGCTTTTGGAGGTTCCACAAAAGCAAAAGGAACGATTAACATTGAAGTGAGAGTGTCCTCTTTGACTTGTACTTCTTTTTAGGTGTTGACAGACTCCTTCAAGGCAACTAGAAACGACAAGACATCTTAATATGAAAAAACGGCAACAAGTCTAGAACTAGAAAAAAACAAAATCAGTGGTTCATCAGATCATACATTACTACATCTTTATATGTACACAAGCCAAAGAACCATTAGTAAAACTTACGTATACAAAACTAAGCTTACTTACTTAAGAGGAATTACCTGCAATCTTTATATAAAACAAATGTAGAACTACAAGAGCAAAAGAGAGAGAGCGAGAGAGAGAGAGATGATAATCCGCGAATCTAACCTTGATCTTGGTTTGAAAACGATAAGGTCGGATTCGTGGAAGGAAAAGGCCCGTGTTAGCAACTCTGTTCTTGGTGAGTAGTGTAGTCAAAAAGAACAAATCTGTTCTCTTGAGGAAGATCAGTTTTTCTACAGTTGTGAAGTCAAGCTGCTTGTGATTGGTATCCGACTTAGTTGTATTATGTGCGTTTTCATGCTACAATCAGTAACCTGGTTTGTTGTGTTCACCCCAAAGCGATATCAGAAAAGAATAGAGACATTGCAAAGTAATCTAAACCCGGAAAACAAGAAGAAAAATGAAGATGAAGACCCTTTACCTGCATAGCTGCTACTCTTGATAAGCAACCTTGACATCTTTCAAGCAAAACCTTTTCCTTAGCAGTTACATTCACGGTTTCGACCATTACAGAATTCATCTCATCCACCTAGATAGGAATAAATGAGCTTAAAGTAACCGCTAATAATAAGGGTTGTGTATAGAATAACTCAAGACAGATAACATTTCAGACCCAAAAGGTTCAATAGACTCAACAGAACTTCGAAAAATCTGAGAGAGACAAGACAATTTTTTACCTTCAACGTCAGTGAGAATATGGAAGATGACATAGCTTGCATTACATCGACGGCTGAACTAACAGCATGCTTGAGGTCTTGGATATCAACCTAAACAATCCGAGAAGCATATTAAAAAATTTCTAACCTAAGGTTTCTAGATTAAGCCAAAACAATCATATCAGGGTTTATATCATAATGGTACTTACCACGGTTTTTCCAACTATTGGTAGACGAAGCGTACTGGCTTTCAAGGATTCAGTTGCTCCAGACAAAGAACTTGAATGATCTCTATCCAGAAGAGACCATTCTTCTAGAAAACCCATCTACAATTTAATAAATACAGCGAGCAAGTTTAGTATTTCTAATACAAAAAAAAAAAAAAAAAATTCCTACTCTCTTTATTCTTTCTTATATGCCTCTCCTGTAGATATGTACTATTACTACAATTATCATTTCGAGATAAATAAAATCTCATATTTCTTATGCAAGTAATATGAGATTCTAAGCAAGTAAGCATACCAACTTCTAGTGGTAGATATAGAAAATCTACCTACCATACATAAATAATTAATTAGAGTCCAAATTCATTTGCTAAACACGTTACGGGACAATTACCATTCTACAGTAATTGAGTTATATCCAAAACTTTCTTTTCTTATTAAGAAGGAATCACTAAGCCAAATTCCATAGAATATCTGTCTTATTCCTCAAAAGTAGAAGAAAAAGAAAACGTCTTAATTGGGACATTGGCCCTTTTAAAGTAAGAAATCGTAAAAACTTAAAAGAGATCACATTCTTACCTGTCCCCTCAGAATAGAAGCCAGTTTCAATTTCTGCCTTAGCAAAAGCAACTTGATTCGTTTTAAAGTGACACTGTGCCGCAATTCCGAGATTGATACCCATGCATTCCACAGGTTTTTCTGGCAAAGAGAAAAAACAAGAGAGTAAATTTACATTTTATGTTACGCCAGAAACCGCTAGAAGTAAAGATTTAGTTATACTTAAACCATGTTCTTGAAAGATTTAAACTAACTATACTCTCACTCTTTTTTCCTATGCAGAAAAATTGACTACTCTTTCACTGTATTAGTTCAGTAAGATTAACAAACTCATGCTTAATCTCCAAATTGTCATGATTTATTGGGGATGATGGCACCTAGGAGCCTAAATGATAAGTTTCCGTAAGTGCTCACTTATTATATCAGGATCCTAAATATAGCTGAACAAATCATACCTTTTCTAAATCTGCTGCAGTGGCTAAAAGTATTTACAGCCCAGAAGGGACACAAAACCATAACTGTCAAGTTATTGACCACAAAAGGAAATGAAAAACTCATAATTAAGCCATACCTCCGCGTTCAATCTTTGCACCATAACAGTAGAGTCTGCCCTCGCATTGACAAACCGCCACTGCAGGTAACGGTTATATAGAAGCCTCAACAAATGTGCATCCATAACACGATCCTCCCCAATTTTCCCTCTCCTAATATCAGCAGAGAAACTAAGAATTGAAGGCGTATTGTTGCGGTTATAAGCGTTCATTTGATCAGAAACTCCATTTCTCACTCGAGAAGGACTCGAAAGTGCTCTAGCTGGAGATGACGTAGTTGTCGCCCAAAGCTTACTTGGTGAAGCAGAGCGAATAGCAGAACCTCTTACAGGAGAAGCCATACCACGAGGAGATGATAAAGGAACAGCATCGCTAGAAAACCGTTTCGAAAGACCAAACTTTGAAGATATACTACTTGTTTTCAAACCCGGGCTAGAGGATAAAGGCGAACCTGGATCCTGCAACCGCCTTAACCGGCTATTAGTCTCTTGCCAAAACCTAGCAGAAGCCATAATATTACGAGGCAAGCTCTTTGATTTAGAGATTTCCCCATTAACACCAGAACCACATTCCTGGACACCATTAGTGCTACCAGAAGAAACACTATCAGTATCCGAAGCAGTGAAGTCACAGGAAACACTAGACGTCAAACCATTATTATTAGGTCTTCTCTGGCTATCATCTCCAATTTCCAAATATTCATCCCTACCTCCCAAATCTAAACTCAATCTCCCATTAACAGAAACCCTAGGACTCTCATCAATCATAGAATTATGCAACATTGACCTCCCAACAAACCCAGATCCAAGCTTTCCTCTATCACTGCCACAATCTAAGCTTCTAGAAAGCGAATTCGGCACAACAGATTCAGAATTCCCCCTCCGAGAAGCTCCAGGCCACCGTTGCTGATCCACTGGCTTAGAGTTCTCTCTCTGATCTCGAACCGGCGTCGATCTCCGTCGCTCCGGAGTAGGTTTCCGGTGAGAAACCGGCGTAGAAGTAGCCTCTTTCTTTTTACTAATCGGAAGAGAAAAGGCTTCACCTTGAAACGAAACAGACAAACTCCTAGTGGAAGTGATAAGCATCTTTGTAGCCGCCGACATTTCACTGCCTACAGTGACGGGAACCGCCGAGGGTCGACGACGGTCCACTGATTGAGACCGCTTAGGTAACAAAGACGGCGTTTTGATGGAATTAGAAGCGGAATTGGTCGTGGAGCGAGAGAGTAAAGGCGAAGGAGATGGGTATCGTTTACTAGTTCTGAGTATTGCAGAGGAAGAAGAAGAGGAGGAAGAGGATGTGGTAGTGGTAGTGGTAGTGGTGTTGGAAGAGACAGAGTGAGAAGGAGATGGAGATAAGTAGCGAGAAGGAACTTGTTTGCCTCTGGGTCTTCTTTGTCCGCCATTGTTGGTTAAGGATTGAGGTTTATCTTGTCGATCTCGAGGTGGGTTTCTTGGGTCAGTGGTTGAAATCGCTGCAGCCACCATCCTCGTCGGTAAAAACTGTTCCTTTTTTCACATTGCATTCAAGAGATTTGTGTGTTCTTCCCCAAACTGATTAAAGTTGAAAACTTTCAGAGATTTTTGGAACAAATCGAAGGAAAGGATTTTGGAATTTTTGCTTTATTTGCTTCACAGCCGAAGAAGACGAGAGAGAGAGAGAGATGTGGGGAGAAATTGCAAGTGGGGTTTGTGGATTTGGGGTTTCCTGAGAAACTTTTTTTTTTTTGTTTATGTGTGAGAGAGAGAGAGAGCTCTTTAAGTTTCTTAGTAACAGTATATCGATTTTTTTATTATTTAATTTTTGGCTTTTTCAGAGGTTTGTTTACATCAACTTTAAAAGCTTTGATTTTGCCCTAAACTATATGTTTAATTTTAATTAATTATTTTGGTTTTGGATGTTTATTCTTAATCTTCTTTATTCTTTTATGGGATGATTAGAAGTTAATTTTGTTTATGGCCTTTCTACTTTCCAGTTTCCACAGTAATATCAGATCTTTCTATTTTTTATTTATTTTTTAGATCTTTTTATTTTCTTTCAACTTTCAAGCACTTAACAAAACTAACAACAAATTCATAAACTAATTAACCATGATTTTTGCATTTTTATTGAAAACCGAAGAAACAAGAAAATACTAAATTAATTGCATGAATATTTTCTCATAGTCAAATTAGTGTATTTATGAACTCGATAATTTTGGTAAAAAAATTCTTTTTTTTTTTATTTTAACTAGAAGATCTGATCCAAAATTGAAACTAATATATCTCTGAAATATGATTATTTTAGCTACTACTCCCTCCGTTTCGTTTTTCTTGTCGTTTTAGAGTTAAAATTTTGTTTCATATTACTTGTCGTTTTATATTTACAATGCAAATTTATGACAGATTTTCCAGTTTTAACCCTACTTTTTAAACTTAGTAATTACATATATCAAACAAAATAATGTATTAATTAGGGGTAAAACAATAACTTTAATCGTTTTCTTAATTTGTGTGAAATAACCTAGAACGACAAGTAATATGAAACGGAGGGAGTATATTTTATAGAACTGGAATATCTCAAGTTGAAGTTCAGATTAATATTTAATCAGATATTTTGGCATACTCTGATCATCTATAATTTTGCTAAAATTTTAAAATCCATGATGGTTTATGATATTGTTTACTAATTTTATTATATTAACTCGATAGTTTTAGTTTGCATTGTTTCAGAATATATGTGATCTATTATGCCATTAGCTAACTACCATAACTTGAATTTGTGTATATATTTTTCCTCTTCTATCTATCGATTGATTTCTATGACATAAAATTCATTAGAAATTGTTTTAAATGAATGTACATAACTAACCAGATCGAGATCGTTTCTTATTTGATATATACAAATATTTGGTCGCTATGAATTTATATCATGATATTGATATCTATTTAGTCATTAAAAACCGTTTATATAAATTTGGTTCATCTTTATGCTTTTTGGAAAGTTGATTGAATATTTGCATGTGCTCGAAATTGATACTTTTCTTAGAATTGTCATTGAGGATTACTTTTGGGGCTCTCTTACTTAAGAATATTTTATTGGCTTTCAAAGTTACCACCGCTAAATATCTTATATCTTAAGTCTTAACCCACAAATAAATACTAACTATAATAACTATATAAGCAAACAAAAAACATAGTAGAATTAAAAGAGTAAACGAATTATCCCTAATTTCTTAACTTCGAACCATGAAAGCTAGAAGACGTCGGTATTATCTAATGCTTACGTTTCAAATATAATAAGAAGTTAACCCCAAATATGTCTAATGAGAAATTTAATTAAATTGAATATTTGAATTCTTTATCAAAAGAAAGAAGAAAAGAAATAGCATGTAATATTACGCATTTGAAGAGATGTTGATGTGTACATATGATTTAGTTTCATACCGAAATTTATATCAAAAATATATATAAGAAAAAGAAATACGTTTTCTCTTGATTGGTTTGGTCGTCTACGGTCAATATATAGTCAACTAAATAAAAAAAGATAAGGTCAATTTATTTATTACTATTCTCTTAATTAAAGAAAGAACATAGTGTGTGTATGTTAAGGAGATAAATACCACTACAAGCAAAGTTATGTATTTTGCAATCATACATATAAAAGTAGGGTTTCACTCTCCCATGATTGGTCCACTTGGCATTTTTTTTATTTATATTTTCTTAAATTTACCTTTAATATATTAATCTCTAATTAACTCCCTTTAAAACTCATGTGTAACTCCACATTTAAATTCATTTGTAACTCCTCCACTAAAATGCATTAACTATTTGAAAATGATATTGACTATAATTTAAACTCTATATTTAAACTCAATAGTAACTTCTACCAATAAATAATAATTTGTAACTCATACTCAATAATTATAAGAGTTTCACCACTTCTCATCTATAAATATCAATTCTCTTATCATTCTCCACCATATTTTCAAATTTGTAAATTTATTTTATTTTATGTTCTTGCATGAGTTAAAAACAATTGTGTCATGGTGATAGTGAAGGTTTGATTGTAATATTTATTTTTAAAGATTATATGATATGTAGTTTACATTGTATTCAATTTGTACTTCGTTTATTTTATTTTTAGAGATTATATGGTATATATGTAGTTTATATTGTATTCCATTTTATTTTGTTTTCACCGCATTACAAGAATATATTTCTTTCATTTTTAGTTTTCAAAATTCTTGCTATAATATTTATCTGTTTCCCGATTTATCTATGGAAGTTCAAAAGCTAACTATTCTAATATTCACACAAGTCAATCAAATTGAAATGATATATCTTCGTTTTTTACTATTGATGTATGATTATTCTCTTTATCTATTTATTCAAACAAAAAACATTATTCGATGTTTTAGCATTTTGAAATTAAAATTTTTAATGCATTTCTCAAATATATGTTCTAACATGTAGTGATATGAATATCATTGTAGTATTTTTCCAAGGTTTGTGGTCAAAATTATTTTTTTTCAACAAAATTAATTTAATAAAAACAGTTAGATAATCAATAGCAAATGTTTAAATATCATGTTGGTAAAAAGATGTGAGAAAAAGTATCTTTAATGGAAAATGTATGTTATTCATGTTAGAAGAAAAACTGTTTTTCTTTTGCATCAAGCACACAAAAATTATGATTGTATATAAATAAGTTGAATTTTCTTAAAATTGAAGATATTAGAACTTAGACTTAATAAAAAAAATGTAAGTAGATGTTAGATATATCTAGAAACTACACTATTCTTGATATATGTTTTTTTAATTACAATATACAAATAATTTATAAAATATTTCGAGTCGTACCACTTAATTGATTAATTCTTACAATACTAAAAAATAAGTGGTGTTAAAAAATTATGCATTGTAAATTTGTAATCATAGAAGAATATGTGTGATAATATTAAAAGCATAATTTTCTTTTAGTTTTCATTTCAAATTTTAAATTCATGTTTAGATTAAAATTGTAACAAGTCACGCGTAGCGTGGCTACATTCATCTAGTAAGTATTAAGAAAACGTTTATAGAAAATCAAAAGATGTAATGTCACTTTTAGCTTCCATTAATATTTTCTTGCTTTGGAGTGAGTATTAGTTAGTCCATAGTTAGTCATTTTTGCTTAGGATCAAAGCTTTCTTAAACAACTCTCTTATTAATAAAAAAACATAGCCATTGTTTAGAGTTTAATAGTTTATAGGGCCCTAGTTCATATAACGTTCTTTTCTCGAACTCATTCATGTTTACAAGTAATAGCGATATGGTAAACGATGATCAATTGATCATGTCATGCTCGTCCTAATTTTTTAAAAGAGATTTTCTTATAAAACAAACATAAAGTTCTAATATATGTTTTTAAAAAATATTGTGTGAATGTTCTGTGGACGGTTCTAATGATGATTATACAAGCATGTATCATTAGCTACTCGGATTTGTAAATATTTATAACTATAGACAATCATTTCACCCAATATAATGTTTGGTTTGGTTCACATTATGATATTATTATTATTAAATAGAGGAAAAATACTATAATAAATAAATTTTATTTTCCCACTAATTAAGTACTTACCTTAATCAATTCGAAATCAAAATACGTACGGCATTGTGTACATCTTGTATACGTGAACGAATGAGATTGTATTTTATCAAAATATAGTTAATTAATCAGTCTTCTGAATCTTATAACTATATAAAATTAATATTATTATGGTTAAACCACTAAACCAAAATGTTGAATAATGTGTGGTGGGGATGACATCTCTTTGATTGTTATTAATTGGAAAAAGAGAAAAAGGCCTTTAAGACCATCTCTCTCACACACACACAAAACACTCTCTAACTACTTTGACAACTTCATTACACTAAAAAAGCAATAGCGTGCATTGTAATGATTTCTTTTTTATTCGCATTAAGTTTTCATTTCTTTTTTTCTTCTATTACTCACCTAAGCACACTATAAGATTTGAACATAACTTATTACACGATGATAGTAATAATACAAATCACTAAACTATACGTTCTATCAACTTTTTACTGAAATGTGGATGAAGCCATATCTCAAGCCAAAAGTTATATGTAAGTGTCTTAGATAAAAGAATAGTCTAGTGACCAAATGCCAATATTGTTTGCGTTTTGTGAAAACTTAATCAAAAGATCCAAATTTTGAAAAAAAATAGTTTTTCAAAGGTCCAAATTATAACCCTTAAATTTTCTATTACTAGACCAATCAATCCATGTTTATCTATTTAGTTTAGTTTTCAAAGGCACAATGGTTAACAATGCATTGTCACTTTTTTTTTTCATTTGTATGAAAGAGTTTTGAGACTACCTTAAATCATGTAGCTGAAAAGTAGTTTAACTTATATATCTGTAATAATATGATCACGATGCAAACTAGACGATTCGTTAGATGTCATTGTATATATAGATGACAGAATTGTTGGGTACTAGTTGAAAATTAAAAAAGATATTTATAAACTCTAACGTTAGGTCTAATATATAACTACACGCATGTACCGTGGTAGGTTTTTGGTTGCCTCTTCCTAATAAGCTTGTAAGACCCATATCAATTACTATATACACATAAGGTTTTAAAAATTCATTTATGGATTAAATATTAAATTGTTTATCAGCCAAGTTTCTTAAGATCATGTGACTTGAAGCATACTCCATAGATTATTGACTAATCATTTTCTTTATCTTATATATTCAGTTGAGAGACCAATATTAGTTAGCCAACCTTTGAAAGTAATTAAAATATTAAAACCCTTTTTGATGAATAAGTAGTAAAGTAATGTTAATAATTTAATATTGTCACTTTTCTACTTTCCAGACTTAGAACATCCTTTCCACTTAATCCCAACACATTCTTCTTCAAAAGCTTTTTCATGGATTTTCACTTTATTTATAGATAATGTGTATTGTTTCTGTAATAATTCTATTCACTATATATACAACATTCCAGTATATTACAAACAGTCTAGAACAAGTTGTTTCTTTTATAAGTGTAGTGGAGAAATACAAATTTAGTTAATCTCCAAATGGAATATTCTCTATATTTTATTACAAGCATAGTTCTTGAGATTATCTGCAGCTCAAAATTCAATCTTTTACTCGATTATTTGAAATATTTAATTTGCACAAAACATGATACACATGGAGAGCTGGTATAACATATATTAGTATAAAATTATTTTAGCATAGTTAAGTAATTGCTTAGTTTTATAATTATCTAACTATGCGTGCCCTTGAATCAAACTAAGATGTGATTTAATTAAGTACTTGATTTTTTTGTTGTTCCCAAGTTTCTTAGAGGTAACGTTTCACATATAGCACGACAAACGGAAAAAGTATGGAAAGCAGAAAAAATAAAAACTAAGGAAAAAATTTGAAAACGAGCTAAATTTTATTTTGTTTTCTTTTACTTAACTAAATGTTAAGAAAATCACCAATTAGCACTATCAATGATCAGTCGAACATATCTATCAACAACTTTTGTTTCTTCTATTTTTCTGAGTCTTTCTTGACCTCAAATATCGTAGAAAAAGATTGTAAATAGATCAATATATACCTTTTCTTTTGATATAAATTTCATAAATGACAAATTATCCATACAAATATAAAGTAGTTAATAAATGGGTCTAAAAGTCTATTGAAGTTCCATGGAGATCACAACTTTTCTGCTCACACTCTAACTTGCCCCATCTTGCATCCACTCTCTCGCAAGGGAACACCAACTTCCCCAAACTGCAAAACAATTTTAGAATCACACATATGGATTATAAATTTCAGTTCTTTTTTTAACTATGCCCCCATTGCTTTGAGATGTGCAAGAACGCTATGCTAACATTAATCTTGTTTCAGTTTACCTTCTATTTACGGTGTTGTGTACATGGCAAAGCCACTGCGAGAATTCCTCCTGAGATCCAGCTTGTGCGGGATTCGATCTATTATGAACAGAACCGTGAGAGAGAGAGAGAGCTAGAGATCAAAATCAACTATAGTAAGTTGTAATGAGCTACAAGATAACATTATTACCTTAGGATTTCTTTGAAGTGATCTGCACATTCTCTACAGGGGTACATTCGAGAAAGTATCGCCATCTACAGAAAAAATGCTCTGTTTTAGCTTTCACAGGAAGAACACTTGTGACTGCAAGTTCTTACTGATAGCAAACGTTAAGCCTTGATAAATTTATGAAGTTTCTAGCTGAAAATTCTAGCTTCCGAGTTCATCACCAATTTCAACTTCATCTAACAAACTAACTTCTATAAATTATATAAGACAATAGACTAAGGCAAGAAGAGTTGTACCAGTTCTTTAACATCCCTTTTTTGCTGCCTTGTTGGTTTTTCTGGATACTGATGAGAAAAAACAAACATCAGATTCAGAAACTGCTAGAGGTCTCATCAATGTGATAAGGTAGAAGTATGAGAATGACAAAAATTGAACCAGAATCCTCTTGTTTAACTCTGTAAAATCATTGAACCGAGAGAGCAACCCAAAGCAAGAACCAAAAGTGAATGAAAGAGCAATCTCAACTCTCTCTAAGCCCAAATGCTTGCCAATAAACAATCAATACCTCTAATTCTGTTCATAACTCATGTATCAAGGAAACTAAATGGATGATAAGTCAATCCTGGAAAAAAAAAGATATTCAAGAACGGAAGTGTAAACCTGCGCAGCAAGAGTGTGAAGAAATGTCCATGTAGCTCTCCCGAGATCCTCTTTAGTCACAGGGCCTGTAGACTTGTCCTGTAAAGAAAAAGGAGTAAATTTGTTGCAAATGTTACACATGGTTCATACCAACAAAATCTATAGCTCAAATGAAAATGTGGTATAATGCTTACGAAATCCTTCTCATTGAGGTCTTAAAGGTGAAAACTTTTCGTAATGAAACCTTAATTTTGGATACAAGATACAGCCTTTTTATTCATGGCTAGTTAAACTAACTCCAAATCATCATATCAAAGACAGTGTCTACCAGTAGTAATTTACTTACAATAGAGCACCGATTTGAACTAAAGTATCTAACTTTGAACCATATGTTTGGTAACAAAACCAGAGAAGGTAGAAAGGGTTAACTGGGGAATTTCATCGAACACGTTGTGATCATAATCAGGAGGAGGTTTGAAGAGTGCAAACCAAAGTATTTTTACCTTGAGAGGAAGTTTCTGAAGACTGGAACTGTTGGTTACGATTGGTGGAGAAGATTCCAAGGAGATGATTGGGTTTTGGATTCTGGATTGAGTATTCTTGATGCCGATGAAATTGGAAAGATGAGTTTGGACGCAATTTGATAGTTTCTCGAAGCTCTGCAGCAGTGGCTGCCATGGGTTCTCACCCATCTCTTTTTTTTTTGTTTCTCGGTGAAAGCACTGGAGAAATAGGACAATGCTCTCAAATCTTCTTCGCAAGTGTTTGTTTTTTCCTTTCACTTTTTGTCTGCAAAAACAAAATTTTAAATCGTAAAATATTTTATAAAGAGTTTAAAAAAAGGGGAAAAATATTAACCGCTTACATACAATTTACTTGATTTTTCTTTAATTCACCATAAATAATTTAAATTTATTTATATATCGATCAATGCCTCTGATAATTTATTTGTCGCAAACTAGCAATGCTGGTTTGTTTTGCAAAAATTTAACGCCTTTTTTTGTTATATTACTTAGCAAACAAAGAGTTATCTAATTGAGCAACACATTGATGTATTTTTTTAAAAAAATTGGTCCCTAACCAAAAAAAAACTTTATTACATACACTCTACAACTGATACCAAATGAAATTTACACAATATTTCTTGAAACTAGCTAGATCCTAATTGCAAGGCTTATATTCCTTACCATCATTTATTATAAGAAAAAAAAAACTATATGTTCTATGTTCCGTTGATCCGTTCCATTGCACACTAGCTTCCTCGAGTCGTTTCCTCTTTCTCTGCCTTAATCCATGCAGCCTGCAAACGAGAGAACACAAAACTATAAACACCAGCTCAAATGATTGTTGTGTTAATGGAAAAAACAGAAAGAACCTAACCTTTTCTCTTTCGAGTTTCGACAGACTCGGCCGAATCGAGTTTCCGAGGTCTAAACCACCCCAAGCTTCTTGCATTTCTCTGTCCCTTGCTTGTCTTCTTGTTAACAATGGTGCTGCTGTCTCCATCTTCTCGCTTTCAGGTTTCCTTTTATGCTTATTAACTGTTTGGTACAAGCTCGAGTCCCCAAGTCCTAAACCACCCCAAGCTTCTAGCATTTCTTTGTCCCTCTCTTGTCTTCTAGTTAGCACCGGTCTTGTCCCTTCTCCCAAATGCTCAGTAGTTTCTGTTTTCTTGCTTTCAGGTCTCTTCTGGTTATTGCTCTTTGACTCCCCAAGGCCTAAACCACCCCAAGTTTCTTGTAGTTCTCTATCCCTCAATTGTTGTCTGGTAAAACTCGGTTTTGCCATCTTCATGCTTTCGGGTCCCTGGTTATGTTTTTCCAGTGTTTGGTTCAAGCTATCTTCATTATTGTTCTTTGAGTTTTCCGTCTCTTCTACTCCAGCTTTGAACCTGAGCTTCTCCTTCTCCAGCTTGGGAACATGTTTCACCAGAATTTTGTCCAAACTCTCATAACCTGACTCTGTGTTTGCTGCTTGTTTTCTCTTCTGAATCCTCCGGTTTCCATAAACTGCTTCCGATGCAATTTTTTCTGTTTCTAATCTGTGAACCGGCTTTACTAAGATCTTGTCTAAACTTTCTTCTTGACCCTCAGCATTATTATTGTTCGAGTCTACGTTTTCTTTTCCCAATTCTTCTGTCAACTCACTTGAAACTTTTTCTAAATTTTTTGCTTCAAGATCTTCTTTGCTCCTCTTCTTTGCTTCTTGGACTTCTTTCTCTAGCTTGGAGACATGTTTTACCAGACAGCTATCCAGGCTTGGAACTTCAGACAAACTATCTTTTCTTCCCGGTTTCTTCACGTTTTCATACATTTTTCCGCAGTTCTTTAAAGTTTCTTGAACTTCCTTCTCCAATCCCGAAGCATGCTTTTTCACTAGCAAGCTTTCCAAGTCCGGGATAGGATCCAATGGCGTTTTGTTTCTGCTTGAAGTCTTTTGGTACTTTCCAAAATTCACTCCTGCGTTCGTCTTGGCTTCTTCGATCTCCTTCTCAAGCCTTGATGAATGTTTCACAAGGATGCTTCCCAAATCCGGAACAGGATCACTTGCAACACCTTGAGGAACCTTTTTGTTTTTATCAGATACTTCCTTTGAAGCCCTTTTGGCTTCATGCACTTCTCTTTCTAATTTGGTCATGTGCTTAACTAGATACTTGTCCAAACTTGGAATTTCTGTCTCTGTGCCATCCCTTGTCGTTTTTCCTTCCGTTAAGGACCCGAATTTAGAATCTCTTCTTGATCTTGTATCTGAAACAGTTGGTTCGATGCTTGTGGTCTGCCCCCTCTGGCTACCAACTTCAGCCAAGGCCTCATTTAAACCACAAGTAGCAACTACAGAGGCAAGACTTGAAAGTTGATCTTCTTGTAGGCCCTGAAGCCTCTCAAGCATCATATCCAGAAGCTTCTCTCTGCTAAACTTCCCAAAGGACTGCCGCCTCTTGACTTTTAGCTGTCTCATTTTGAAATACGAAGTCTCCTCACATTCAGACACTTCTTCATCAACCTTGTGGAGAATGCCAAGTTCAGAATCGGACTCTGTGTCGCATTCTGAAGATATCTCAGTGATCTCATGATTATCACGCACATCAGGATTCTCGCTGATTTTCTTCAGAAGGTCTTTAAACTCAGCTTTACTGAGAGAGGGGCAATTTGCAAGCCTAGCAAATGCAGTTTTAACAGCAGCTGCTACTTCTTTATCTACATCAAATGCAGTTTCAAAAGATGCTGTAACCGTATGAGTAGGAGATCCCCTTCCATGTGTTCCTGATGTTTCAATTCGATATTGTTTTCTCGAGCTATTTGGTTTATCATGCATTATGACTCCCAACGCAGATGCCGCTTCAAAAGCTTCCACCGCAGCCTTTTCTGCATTCTCCATCAAAGTTTCTGCTTCTAAACTTGGAATCCTATCAATAGGAAAATTCCGATAGTTAAAAAAAAGATTAAAGAGGTACCACAATAAAAACTTGCTGGATACTACAACCTTTAATTACCTAGCAGCTCGAAGTATTCTACACCAAGATGCTTCAACCAGTGCAGCCTTGCGAAGCTCCATGGCCTTACCCGCAGCCTCTCTCACAGCCATTTGTTCTCTTACAATTTTGCAGTAGTGTGGATTCGAGTCGCCAAGAGTCTCATCAAGCGTCTGATTCATTCCACCGACCTCCTACACAACACCAAACAACAGCTTCAATATTCCAGAACTGGACATAGTGTTGTTATCAATCAATCAATGAGAGTATATAACAAGAATGAAACTTCACCTGTAGCTTCTTGATCTTCCTATTCAAGTAGGAATCCCCCTTTCTTCGCGGGAACCAGCCAAGAGGTGATGAGGTTTTACGTTGAGAAGACCTCTTTGATTGTGATTTTCTTAGAGCTGATGTCTCTCTTGGTGATTTAGTCTGCATTTCCACAGAGACAATTGAAACGGCCATTTAACGAACATCAGAAACTAATTGACTGGGAAATAGATACTTAACAGCAGAAACACATAAATAACCCTAACTAGAGAGTGTTAAAACTTAGCAATCAAGTGTAAAAATCATCTTAAGCAAATTCGCAATATATCTACGGATTTGAAGTGAGCAATCAAGTGTAAAAACCCTAACGTCTTGGTATAACAACAAAAACCTAAATCCCGTGATTCCACTATACGAGAGCCTAAATTACGAAACCCTAATTTTCTATTAAACAGGAAGAAACTCAATCCAATGTCACTGGAAACATCAGTCGAGAGAACAAAATCCATTAAATCTGGAATCGAAAGAGAAATTACCTTCCCGAGTTTCGAAGGTGAAGACGAACATTCAAGATGATCGGAAAATCCGACGCCGCTTTTCTTGTCAGAAAGACATCCCAAATCCAAGCAACCGAGATCCATGGCGGCTTTAATCATGTCCTCAATTTGTAGTATCAGATTAGCGAAGAAGATTCAGATAAGCGAAATCTTTGGAGAAGAGAGAAGAAGACGAGAGAGGAGAAGAAAGAATTGTGATTGGTGACCTTCTCTTCTCCTTTTGAGTTTTGGGGGAAATATACAAATCGGGAAGTAGCCGTTACAACGGGATATATGGCTTTCTTTTTCTTAAGTCGTATCTACTCACTTTTTTCTCTCAACGGGTCGTTTTGGGGCTTTTCAATGTAATCATCTCCTGTGTGCGAGTACATACAAACTTACAATAGTCTAACCTCTTGTGAATAGACACGTGGCCTCAGAATAATATCCTCTCCTCTCCCCTCTGCCGGACCCACATTTGTAAGTTAATTTTGTTCTTTTTTCCAATAATTTGTTGACAAAAAAAAAAAAAAATTCTTTTTTTTCATTATAAATAGATTCAAGTGCTAAAAGCCTAAAACCATTTAAAATGAATGTTATTCGTAGTATTTTAAAATGGATGTTGGAGTTATTAAGGTTATTTTTTTATTTCTAGACCAAAAAAATTTAATCTCCAATCAGTCATAGTTATAGCTTAATTTAGTCTCCACTGCAAATATGTTAATATCATTGGTTGGTCGCTCCAATTTGTATTTTTTTCTTCATATATTTGTTTGTTGGAGAGACATGTATATATATTTGACATGCAAAACAGCAAAAGTTACATATTTCCCAAATGTATACATGATTAAAACCTTATATCACATATGTTACATTATTTTTGATACAATTACACACAACGACATGATATTTTTGGATAAACACACAGAAAAACACAAATGATTTTAATCAGTTATAATACAATGGTTCATGCTTACTTAAATGTTCCCAATTGCCACCGCTGTTTTCTGAGCGACAACAGTTAACTCATGACACGATGAATCTAACATTATAGGCAAACGACGTTGCTTCATCAAGTCAACGATGTGATTTTTCATGACGACTGTTTTTAGCCAAGCTGGTCTCATCTTCATTTTCTCTACCCATGCGGCTACATTGGGACGTGAATAGATCAAGTTTTTCAATTCTTCTTCTTCCGTGTTCAACAAGTAATCAATCGGCGGAAGATGATGAAGATCCGCTAAAGTGAAGCTATCACCGGCTAAGTAAGGAGACTCGCCTAGACGAGTCTCGTAGATGTTCAGAATCTCTGATAACTTTTCTTTGTTTTCTTGAACTGATGTAACATCGGTGGCTAAACCTTGATATGGTTTTATGATGAGTTCTTTGATGAGTGTTGATGCTATAGGAAGAAATTGATTGGTATCTACTTCCATCCACATCGACACGATTGCTCTCTTTTTGGGATCATCTGGTAATAGATTTGTTCCAACGTTTTTGTATTGCTCGGCTAGGTACCGCGTGATCGCCTTTGGTTCTATATCCATAATCAAAACTCTATTAAATATCGCAAAAACTATTCTTTTCATATAATGATCGGTTATTTTTGCAGTATTGTTTTCTTTTAATATGGTAACGAATAAACATATGAAAATGTAATAATTATGTAACCTTTTGCAAAACCTCCAAAAAAACACTTAGCCATTCAAATCCAAGACTTAAAATAAAATTCCAGAATAAGAAACAAGATTAGTACCGAAAAGTTTGAGATCTCCATCTTCAAGAACCGGGACTTCACCAAATGGCTGCAAAAAAGAAGAGAATGATAGTTCATTCAAACACATATGAAGTTAAATTTGGTAGATATGCAATAGTTAAGAGTCACGTGTGAGAGTTTATACGTTGAGAGTAGAGAGAAAAGTTTTGGTTTTGGCTTCACCAGCAAGCCAATCTACGAATACCAGCTCAAAGTCAAGACCTTTCTCATTGATACAAAAGAGAGCTGCCGAATTTCCAAACAAGAAGCCACAGTGGAGCTTCATCTTCGAATCAGCCATGTTGATTTCTTTGTCTATTTACTAAATTAGTTATTATTGAGTGGATGAGTACTCCGGTTGTGATCTCCTTATTTATAATTGCGAAATATTAAATATCCATTGCATGCAAAAGTATATTAATAATCAATAACCTTTCGGCCTTCTAAGAGTTGGTCATGGATAAATGATAGTATAGTTTAGATTAGGTGTTAAATACCTGTCAGACTCATTAGTCTAAAGGGTGAAATTAACTCAATAACAACCAGAAATGAGTTAATTAACAAAGTGGCAACAAGAAAACGAAATTAAAAGAGGGAAATTTTATCTAGAACCAACTTGTATACTGCAAGTGTGCAACTAGTACATTGATTATTTGACTTTAGTTAAGTAACTAACTAATCAATAATTGCTTCATTTTTTTAATTGTAGTGTTTCATATATTTTTTGCTAACAAAAACAAGTTTCATATTTTATATATTATACTCCTACGGAAACTGAATTGATATTTAGAATTCTGTTTCAGTTTACATTTTTCTCTTTTTAATGTTTTATAAAAAGAATCCACATTGAAAATTTTATCTAAACATCAAATTTTCATAAAACAATATTTTTGGTTAAACGAAAAGAGTAACAAGTAATAACTAATAACTAATGCTTAACATTAAAACACTATCAATGAATGTTGTAATTAATTGAATCAAGGGAGACCAAATATAATGCTAGTTGATGGATACTGTTTTTTTTTATAAGTTTTCTATAGACTCATAAAAATATTATCATACATTTCGGAATGAGATTTTTCAATTAAAGAAAAGAAAAAATTATATATTAACCTAACTGATTCAGTGAAAAATTCTTTTAGAAATAAATCATAAAAATATAGTATCACCAATTCTATGTTCATGTAAAATTTTTTAATATATTTCAATATTTGGATTTTGGAAGATGATTTTGTTGCAACTGAATAAACCTATTTACATTTTTTTTTGTCTTTTTTTTTTTTGTCGTCTGGATTTATTATTTATTGCAAATTATGAGAACTGTTACATAGACGATTCTACAACGGACAATTCCTTCCGACCCTTATTAGATTCACGACAGACGACACCTCCTTCACCTCCTTCTTCATGCTCTTGATGGACACTTCTCTTTCTGCGTAGAATCCTGGCGAACGGCTATAATTGTACATCGCTGGAGATCTCCTGCACACTTGCCTCCAATAATCTGCAAATTTATTAATAAATCGCATTATCTGGGACTCGAACCCCAGACCTCTGGGTGTAGAAACATTAATTAACCCTTGGTCAACCAATGGGCCAAAGGGGCTTCCACTCATTTTTTTTTGTCAATAAAAAGAATTCAAAACCTATTTTCATTTATTATAGATAATAACAAAAAAAAAGAGAGAGAAATAGAAAAAGCTATCATTGGCATTTATTTTTCTTAAGGACGATCTTAGTGGATTTCATTTGGCTAGGCCCAAACTAAATTGGGCTTCTTCCTTTAGTTGTTATTACAACGACACCGTTTTTAAAGATGTTTTGTCTTCCCTCCGACCACAACTAGTGTGAGCTGACGTCACCTTTTCACTGCAGTTTCCTTTTACTTTTCCTCGCTATCTTCTCTCCCATCTCTCTGTCCTCCTTATCTCATCCGTCTCTGCACTTGTTTCAGTTTCAGATCATATAAACGATTTCGGCGATTGTTCGGTGCATGACGAGCGCATCGGAACTCTTCTCTACACGAAGATCACGTCCGGGTCGATCCGACCCGGATTTAGAATCCGACTCTTCTTCTTATCGACACTACTCACACCATCATCATCATCGCCGTCACGGCGTCAATCATCATAATCAACGTCATGATTCCGACGGCTGTGATCCTCTCCGGCGACCCACTCCCCGTCTCCGACGCTTCTGTCACCTTCCGGTTATTCTCTTTCCCCAAAGCATAATTTTCTGAATTTGATCCATTTATTAAAGTCTCACCTAATTTACCTATTCAGGAACGTAGTAGACCTATTCGTGATGTTCAAGGCACTGGTCAGTATTTGAATACAGACAGTACTGATACTGATACTCAAAGTAGCAGCTTTGTTAACCTAAATGGATCCGAGAGGCTTCCTGGAGCTGTTCTGCTCGCAAGGGCTAGACTTTTCGAAAGATTGAGAGGTGTTTCTTTGTCTAGTAACAGGTCTGTGCTTAACCCACTGAACAAATTTTACAGCTTTACTTAATGTGCATTCTAGTGTGATTTAGATTTTTCTAAAGATGATTGCTTTGTTTTGTCTGATCACGGTTATGGTTTTGAATTGGTAGAATTGGTAAAGATTTTAGCATAAAAATCAGTTTTTGTGGATTCCTTAAGAAGTTTCAACAAGAAGAAAGATTTTGTTACTTAGTGTTGTTTTCTTAAAGATCTTTCTGTGGAGATTCTTTTCACAGTTTTGGGTGCTGAATTTGTATAGTTTGAACTTTGTTCCTTGATTCAGTCGAAGCAACAGAGTTTCATTGGGAGATGATCAAAGGGAGTCCTCATTTCATTCTATAGATGGAGATCCGGTTTTTCAACTAGAAGGGCTTCAAGTGTCCTATGAATGCAACAAGAAACCACAAGGTCTTACTCAATATGCTATTAACTGTTTACACCGGCAAACTTTTAGCTCAGCCGAGGTGAATACCGAGATGAGAGATTGTAGCATATGTTTAGAGAGTTTCACAAAAGGCGACATACTTATATCCTTACCATGTACCCATAGTTTCCATTCTTCTTGCTTAAACCCTTGGCTTAGAGCTTGTGGAGATTGTCCTTATTGCCGTAGAGCCATAGCTAAGGAATAGAAACTTGTAAATAGAATCTTTGCCTAACCGTAGGCCTTATCCACACATATCTTCTCTTCTTCTTTTTCTTGCTATAGACATCCTCAAATCGGTCTTCGAGTTTTGTCGCCCATGAGTGCTTTTTTTGCTGTCACATTTTTTGTAACGGTTTTTGTTGTGCCATTAGGTAGTTGAAGCGTTGATATTGTATGGTGTGAATCTTTTTAGTTTTCTTCACTGTGATCCTCTTTTAATGTTTTGTTGGTTATATGAAAGAGACTTTTTTCCAAATCCAAATCGTGATCCGACAAATTGGTTATGTTTTGAGGTTATAGCTCAACTGCTTAACGTTTTCATTTTCAGAAATTTTGATTGTCTCATTCTGAAGATGCTTCAAAGCTTTGCTTCCTCTTCCAAAACGCTGTCATTATCATACACCCATGTATGTTACATATATTGAAGTCCAATATCAAAAGATGCAATCAATATATAACAACTTTAAAAGAAAGTTATGCCCAAAAAAGAACTTTAAAAGAAAGTTAAGGCAAAAAAGAGAAGACAGTTGTTGAAAAAGCTATTTTTTGCTACAAAAGCATATAAAAATGGACCCCTTTCTTCATAAATTCATGATCATCATCTTCAATTCCTTTCATAAAATCCCATTTATTTGTTCCTAACTATCACTTTCTTTATTGAGTACCTAACACACCTCACTCTCTAACCACTAAAATTAACAATACATACATTAAGAATGTCCTGACTTCCTTTTTCTATCACATCAGTTTCATGTCTTCAATAACATTAAATCCATTATCCATATGATTCAGATTCAAACAACTTGGGTCGGTTAAGTTCGGTTTGAAAATAAAGAATGTTGAAAGAAGATAGAGAACTTCACTTACTAACCATTAACTTTCCATAGATTGAAAATTTTCATTAGAAAAAGATGAGAGAAATTCAAGATTTTAAGCAGCAATTCTCCTTCTCTTGCTGCAAATCAATCCCATCACCTTACTCAAAAAAATTGAAGGCGACAAAGACAAAAAGACAAACGAAACTTAAATAAACCAATCGTGTAATCAAACTCCTAATATGTGAGCTGCTAAACAAAAGGGTTAGTTAGTTTGATTTCAAGTCTTGTTACTAGCATTACTATGCACAGATTGCATCTTCCCTACCAAACTCAGACATCGATATGCCAAACCGGATCATTGTCGAAGCTTCCTTTCTCCAAGGCTGCAACTTTAGCTCTATGAGCTGTTGTTGCAGCTAATGCAATCGAACTCTTCCCTTTCTCCTCCTGACCCGAGTACTCGCAGGTTTCAGTTAACGAACCAGACCTAAGATCAGCAGGTGGAATAAAGCAATCTAGAGACAGACCAGGAACATCGAAAGCGACTTCTTCAATGGTCCATCTTTCCTCCATCTTTGTCCTAGTGTGGCTCATTGCGACTTCCCCAAATCTGAAAAGGGTTACAACAGAGCGTCCAGAATGAGCAATCATGATCCCTTCGACTGGTTTGTAATCGTCTAGAGATGAATTGATCGTGGTCTCCCAGTAAACAGCATCCCCATCGTTAGATTGGATACGGGTCAACTGAGAATCCTCGATTTGTGCTAAAAGTCCCGTTCTTTGGCTGAAGTAGCCGAAAAGGATGTGTCTTACGATCTCCGCTGGTCCTTCACTCCTCGCCCTTAGCGTTTCAGGATCAGTACATAGCTTCAGAATGAAACAATCTTCACCATTCACCTTCCTCTCTCCAACACATTTCGATTCAGCAAACATAGTGGCAGTAGTTCTCGGGTCAAGTCCCTGATTGATCATTCAACATAACAGAATCAGCATTGGATTGACTTCAAAACCATGTTAGTTTTACGGTTTGGGGATTAACCTGAAGTGCACGACGAAGAGGCCTGACGGGTCCTTTAGCAGTGTGAGAACCAAGCCAAGGAGTATGTCGCCAAACAAGCTTGCCATTGCAGCCAGCACGAACTTTACTACCACCAACAGAAAGCTCAACATACCACATATCAGGATTCATCTGCCAGAGAACAAACCCACCAGTTTCCGACTTTGTCGAGTTTCGATTTCGAACTGTTCCTGTGGGAGTTTCAAGCTCTGAAGTTATCATCTTGAGCTTACCCATAGCATAAGCGTTCTTAATGGTGTTTTGTAACTTGTGACCACCACAAGCTGCAGTGTACTGTTGCAAAATGTATTGTGCAGATGTTGTTTCCTGCAAACAACAACATATCACCAAAGAAAACAAAATTTACACAATAATAGAAACAAAAATTAAAATTTCTTTTAGTAACTAATATAAATCAAAATCTGAGTATTATATGAATCAAACCCACACCAGATAATGACAATACTCCACCAACCAATCCAAAATCATCCAAAACAAGTATTTTTACTAAAAACCAAAAAAGAAAATCGTAAACAAGAAATTGAATCGAAAATGTGGAGCAGAGAGATCTGGAATAAAAAAGTTACGATTTTTATAATAAAGTCTGCGTTTTTAATTCTCAAAACCCTAGAAATTTAATATAATGTGAGAGAGTGAGACTAACAATGGGAGAGTCTCTGATGGTGAGATGAAGAAGATGATTGGAGGAAGAGACGTTAATGGGAGCGAGAGGAGCTCCCATAACGCCGAGAAGAAGCCTCAAATCAGACCTCCGATAAACCGGCGTTGAAGTCACGGACGGAGCACGTGACCACTGACCTTTGACCCAGTGACTTAAACCCGACCCGAGTCGTTTCGAATCCCCTCCAGAAATTTCACCGTTGTCTGGATCAGGACCTTCCATTACTGGTCTTAAACTACTGGATCTCCCAATCAACGGCTCTGGTTGCGGCAAGTAAAATCCTCCTCCTCCTCCTCCGCTTACTCCTCCGCCGCCGCTGCAGCCGGAGCTTGCGATTAGTTTTTTTCTTCCCCAGAGAAGAGCTTTCATGTGTGGGTTTGTTGAACGAGATGGGCTCGCGGAACGAGAACGTGGTCTTGAACGAGAAGGAGATAAGCCTCTTACGACTTCGTCTCTGAGTGATGAGAAAAACCCTTGTTTCTTCTCCATTAAGGACTCTTAAAAATGAAACCTTTCCTCTTCTTCTTCCTCGTAACCGAAATAAATTAAAAAGTTCGAAAAACCTAGAAAATAACAGAGACGACGGAGAATGAGAGAGAGATAGTGGAAGGAGAAGAAGAAGTCGCAGCGGAGCAGAAGAGAGAGAGTTTTGACGATAGTTTTAAAGGACCCAAGTGAGTGAAGAAGCGATTATCGGTAAATGACGATTTTGCCCTCTTTTGGGAAGAAAAAAACAAAAAATGAATGGATTTAACGCGGCTAAGTTTAGAAGTGGGAACATCATTGTCAAAATGCGTTGGTTCGTTAGTTCGTTATCGTCTTAACTTTTAAGTTTGTGATGTTTTTGATAAGTTTAGGTGAATAGTATCAAATCGAGACTACAAGAATAGGAAAAAAAAAGGGTAGATAATATGTGTTGTATCAAAGCACTTAGAGAAAGAACAAAATTATGAATGATAAAAGACTCTTTCTTTTATTCCTTGGAAACTAACTCAAAACCAAGTTTACACAACCCTAATCTCTCAAATCTCTAATACATAAAACTCAAACACAACATATGTATTTATACAGTTTAGATGACTCCTAAACCGACTTAGAACTAGGTCTTAAGATAACTCCTTAAGCCTTTAGTAAACCGACTTTGATCATTGCTTGGGCCTCACGCCATCTTCAAGCTTAGCCCAATATGCTCCCCCTTAAGCTTGAACTCAAATTTTGTCACATCATGAACACCTACAAGATCTCTCATCTCCTTAAACTTGATTCTTCCAAGGGCTTTAGTAAGTATATCCGCTTTCTGTTCTTCTCCGGGAATGTGCTCCACCTCAACCAATTCATTTTGAATGCACTCCCTAATGAAATGATACCTTTTGTGTATATGTTTGCTTCGACCGTAAAAAACTGGATTCTTAGTGAGTGCTATAGCCGACTTATTGTCAATGAGAATCAATACTTTTGTGCTTAGTTTTCCGGTGACCTCCTGTAGAAGTTCCTGAAGCCACACTGCTTGTTTTGCAGCTTCAGTAGCAGCCATGAACTCTGCTTCACATGATGAGAGAGCCACTGTCTCTTGTTTCTGTGAACACCAAGTAATTGGACAGTTGTTGAAATAGAAAATATGACCAGTAGTACTTCTCCCATCATCTTCATCTATATTATGGCTACTGTCACTAAAGCCTATTAATTCTGATTTGCACCCACGGCTGAAACAGAGTCCATAGGTTTGTGTACCCTGTAAGTATCTAAGTATTTGCTTCAAAGCTGCCCCATGAGATTCCTTTGGTTCATGCATGTATCTACTTAATAGACCAACACAGTAAGAAAGATCCGGTCTTGTGTGAAGTAGATACCTGAGACAACCAATATTTCTTCTGTATTCCTTCTCATCTATATTCTTTTCTGCCTGAGCTTTGCTTAGCTTTAAGTTTGCACACATAGGTATATGAACCGCATTGCACTCTCCAAAACCAGTTTCTTCAAGTATCTTCTTTGCATATCTTTCTTGACACAACTTGATACCATCTTTGCTTTGAATTACTTCAATACCTAGGTAATAAGTGAGTTTACCTAGATCACTCATTTCAAACTTCTCTGCCATTCCTTTCTTGAATTCACAAATCATATGCAAACTTGATCCAGTAACAAGTAAGTCGTCCACATATACTGCTACAACCAGAAGCTCTTCCTTTTCCCTTTTCTGATATAATGAGGGCTCTTTAGAGCATTTCTCAAATTTTAACTCAGTAAGAATCTGATTTAGCTTATTGTTCCACGCTCTTGGAGCTTGTTTAAGTCCATAAAGTGCTTTATGCAGCTTGTATACCTTATTCTCTGCTCCTTCTGCAATATAACCTTCAGGTTGACAAACATATACCTCTTCTTTTAACTCCCCGTGAAGAAAAGCAGTTTTGACATCAAGGTGATGCACTTCCCAACCATTTGAAGCAGCAAGAGCAATAATGAGTCGTACTGTTTCTATACGAGCTACAGGTGCAAAAACTTCATCAAAGTCTATACCATGTCTCTGCACATATCCTTTTGCTACCAATCTAGCCTTGTACTTGTTGATGCTTCCATCTGCATTCCTTTTTACTTTAAACACCCATTTAAGTCCAATCGGTTTTGCTCCAGCAGGGAGATCTACTAGATCCCAAGTTCTGTTTTTCGTTATCGAAGAAATTTCTTCATTACAAGCTTCCTTCCATTCTTTTACTTCTTTTGCTTCATTGTAGTCACATGGTTCCTCATTTATTAAAAGAAGAAGTCTTTCATGTTCACATTCAGCTAGAAGAATATAGTCTTTTAGGTAACCTGGTTTAGTAGTCTCTCTCCCAGATCTTCTTAGTTTAGGTAGTGTTTCTTCAGTGCTTGTATCATGAACAGGAGAGTCTACCTGGTCTTCATTAGACTCCTCATCTTTGTCACTGTCAGTCTCATCTTGATGTGTTCTGCTATTATTTTCATTATCATTGTTTTCTGGTTCATTGTTGACATTTTCTTCTCTTATGCCATTATTTCCAAATTCTCCTATAGCAAGACTGAACATCCCTGGACTATTAACATCTTCATGATCCTGATTGTTCCAATTCCAGCCTTTACTTTCATCAAATATCACATCTCTGTTCACCACAATTCTTCTTCTTGTAGGATCTAATAGTCTGTAAGCCTTTGAGCCTGGTTCAGTTCCTAGATGAACCAACATTTTAGAACGATCATCAAGTTTTCTCAATTGTGCAGCTTCTGTTTTAGCATACCCAATACAGCCAAAAATCCTCAAATGTCCAATATTTGGCTTTTTCTTCCAGAAAGCTTCGTATGGTGTTTGATTAACCAAAGTTCTTGTTGACACTCTATTGATGAGATATGTGGCATGTCTCACTGCTTCACCCCATAAGTAATTAGGTACATTCATGTGTTTCAAGATACTTCGTGTCATTCCCATCAATGTTCTGTTTCGCCTTTCAACTACACCATTTTGTTGTGGTGAATAAGGTGCTGTTAAATGTCTCTTAATGCCTGCTGAGTCACAGAATCCATTGAATTCTAGAGAAACAAACTCTCCTCCCCTGTCTGTTCTGAATGTCTTGATAGTATTACCAGTTTCCTTTTCAATGCAGTTTTTAAAGATTTTGAATTTCTGAAATGCTTCATTCTTTTCTTTCAGCAAGATTGACCACATATATCTTGAATAATCGTCGATTAGAACAAAGACATACTTGTTTTGTGCTGCTGTAGCAGGTGTAATTGGACCACACAGGTCACCGTGAATAAGTTCAAGTATGCTTGATGCTCTAAACATTGTTGCTTGAGGGAAAGATTTTCTTGCTTGTTTTCCTAGTAGGCATGATCCACATACTTCCTTTTCAATCTCAAACTGTGGAAGGCCAGTAACAAGTTCCTTTTGCATCATATTCTTCATGTTATCTACTCCAGTATGTCCTAATCTCACATGCCAAATCCTTGATTCATTAGACACCATAATTTGCAGACATTTAGGACTTTCAACTTCCAAGGTTACTTTGTAGAGTCTGTTTTTTGATCTTATTGCTTTTACCAACAGCTTACCTTCTTTATCATATAGAGTCAAATAGTTCTCTTTCATTCTAATATCACACCCAGCCTCAGTAGCCTGTCCAAGGCTCACTATGTTACTTTTTAGGTTAGGAATGTAGTAGACATCAGGCAAGGATCTTCTTTCTCCGTTCTTAGCTATAAATGTGATTAGACCTTTTCCTTTTATGTCAATCCGAGAGTCATCACCAAAACGTACCTTTCCTGTGATGGTTTGATCAAGACTAGAGAAATACTGTAAATGACCTGTCATGTGGTTGCTTGCCCCATTGTCCAAGTACCACATGTTTTTTATATCCAAATTTGTTTCAAAATTGCTAGGAACTACGTTTCTTTCATTAAGAAACACAACTTCATGCATCATTAATGCATCTGCTTGTTGTGTATCCTCAGGCTTATTTTCTTGTGCTTCTTGTAGTTTTAACATCCTATCAGGACAATCTGAAGCGTAATGGCCTAGTTTATCACATCTATAGCAGGTGATTTTACTTGTGTCTCTGTATCCTCCATTGCCTTGAGAGTTACCATAGCGTCCTCTTCCTCTTCCTCTGCCATAAGAACGTCCTCTTCCTCTGTTTGTGGACCAACTTGTTTGTGCAGTTTGTGAGTCAGAGTTAGCATATAACAGTTTACCCTGATCTTCTTGGTTGTCCTCATCGTCACAAATTCTCTCCTCATATGCTTTTAGTCTTCCAACAATGTCCTCAAAGCTTGTTGTGTTAAGGTCAAGAACTTGTTCAAGTGCTGCTATTATATGTATGTATCTTTTCCGAGGTACTCCATTTAAGAACTTTTTGACAAGCTTTGGTTCTTCGATATCATGTCCTAGTGATGCTGACTTTGTAGATAACTCCGAGAGTCTACCAGCAAAGTCATCAATCTTCTCTGTTTCTTTCATCTTAATTCTTTCAAACTCTCCCATTAGGGTTTGCAATCTTGCATCTTTAACCCTATCAGCCCCTAGATGTCTAGCTTTAATCGCATCCCATATTTTCTTGGCAGTATTTAACTTCCCAACTTGTAAAGTTAGGGCTTCGGGAATGGATTGAAGCAAGAGAGCACTTGCCATATTATTTTTGTCGATATCCTCTGATCCAGGTTCAATAGCTTCCCACACCTTGTGAACTTTGAGTGCCATCGTCATACGTATGGTCCAGAATGTGTAGTTTGTGGGACTTAGCATTGGACACTTGATGGATGAGGAACCACCACCCTCTTTGTTGTTAACGACCGGGATTACCTCTCCCATGTTATCTCACGGATCACCTACTCGTGATCGAACTCTGTTTTCAACTCGCAACCTTGCTCTGATACCAATTGTTGTATCAAAGCACTTAGAGAAAGAACAAGATTATGAATGATAAAAGACTCTTTCTTTTATTCCTTGGAAACTAACTCAAAACCAAGTTTACACAACCCTAATCTCTCAAATCTCTAATACATAAAACTCAAACACAACATATGTATTTATACAGTTTAGATGACTCCTAAACCGACTTAGAACTAGGTCTTAAGATAACTCCTTAAGCCTTTAGTAAACCGACTTTGATCATTGCTTGGGCCTCACGCCATCTTCAAGCTTAGCCCAATAATATGTTCGTGTTCATCATTTAATTCTGAGAAGTCTTGTGTGGGAAAGTTGTGAGAAACGTGTTTGAGAGAGACTAATTGACAATGGACTTTTCGTGTTAAGTGAGGATTGCTAGTGGCACCGTTTAGGATGGTAGACAATTACGATTAGATTGTCTTTGATTTAATGTTTGCTTTTTCAACAGTCTTTGTGTTAATTCTCAAGAAATGGGTTCGATTGATAATCATCGTTTTTAGTGAGATTGTTATGATCTTATATTTTCTTGTAGTTATTGATATAGAGTAAAAACAAGACGGTTTGGTTGAATTGGACGGTTAAGGATAGTTGATTAGTGGCGCTAATTCATCATATAAACAAGTTTATACTTAGAGTAGATTTGAGGGAGGAAAACAAAAATCTAGAGTAATTAAACTTGAGAAAAGGCCTTTTTTCAAGTCCAGTTTTTTAGTTTAGCTAAACAGTTTGACTTTCGTTTTCTTGGTTAGTTTTATTTGACGTTTAGCATTAATTTGGCGTATAAACCTTTACGTTAAACATAATTCATTCCGTTTTTATAAGATGAAAAGTTAAAACTATAACAATTGATACAATGACTTTACGTTACACTGTTTATACTACTAACTCTATGACTTCTTTTTTGGTTCAAAATACTAACTCTAAGACTATCTGTCTATCCATCATTATTGTTCTCTTTGTTGGGTTTTCTGTCTCGTGCTCTAAATTTCTCTATCCTCAAACAAACTTTCACGTTCATTAAAGATACGTAGACAAACAAATGTTTTAGTGAGTACGGTCCGTCCATCTCAATAAACTAATACATAATCAGTTCATGCAATAATCCATTCAATTAGCATATCATATTACTATCACTTTGATCCATTAATCCTCGATCGGTACTCATTCTTTGACAGGACCAAAATTCAGTTTTCTACTGCCGAATGCGGGTGTTGGAGTGTATAAAGCGAGGAACGTATGTATGTGTAGCCTATAGCGTGAAGATATAGCAACCTATACGATAATTCACAGTATGGACTTTATGTATCAATCATTGGACTCACTTGTCGTTGCTCGTTTAGATTGACATTACGATTTATAAGTGTTTAAATTAATAAAATGTTAAGATATCCGCTATTTAAGTGTTTAATATAATTGATATGTATATACGCATGCACAAATCAGAACAATCGATAGATAAAATTCAATTAATCGGAGTAAAGTGTTGAAACTATATATATGTTACAATAAAACGAGAAGATACGTAGGTGAATAATTAAAAGTGGCCACTATGATAATTAATTAATCATAGTTTGAAAGCTTGAAAGGTGTGAGATAAAACTAAACCTAAAACAAATTAAAGACACCACGTGAATGTCTTTGAGGTTCTCGCTTCTAACGGTCAAAAGAGCATACATAGAACAAAAACACACAAACCCTTCTTTTAACAAGGAAAAAAAACAAACAAAACAGACTCGTTAACTGTTTCCATTGTTATTATATAGTGGTTACAGCTAGTTATGATTCGTATTTAAAACATATATAACCTTTTTGGTCAATCAAAACTATTGCAACAAAATATTCAATACTATCTGTCTCCCCAAAAGCAAAAAATAATTAGTGGGGACATTAGTGTGCATGTGTGATTCACTGATTCTTGTTATTCAATTTTACTCGAATTGTCTTCGACTCTTAAACTTTAATGACTCCTGACAATAAAAAATGTCTTAAAAAATCTTAGTTTAACAGTCGACTAACACTTATCCCTATTCATAAATTGTTAATTGACATCATATATACCAACGAAAGATGTATTACTCGAATTGTGTTTTTCCTTGTTGACGTCATTAATTAATTAGCCTTACTAGCTTCTTTTATGATTCTAGGCTTTTAAAGAACATATATGGAGGTATATTTTGGATTGAATATTCGAAGAAATCAAACACGATCAGGCTACCACATGTGTTTGGACTCTGGTACCATATTAGATTATGAACTTCCAACTTAAAACCAACTGATTATAAATAGATTGGTTTATTTCTCTGGTATACTAGTCAACATTTTCCGATATGAGATACTATTATTTCCAATATTTCCAACTTTCCATTGAATATGAAACTCAACTACATGTTCATGTTATTTGACCAGTAATGTTTCACTTATAGTTGAAATTGTATGTTATTCAGTTAATAGTGATAAATTTTTAATACTTATAAAACTTTTACAAAAATGGAATACATTTTCTTCGAATTTTCTTAGTTAAAATACATGAAACGAAAATTGCCTTTCTCCTTTCCTTGGAAGAGAATTTGTTTACAATTGTAGATACAATAAAATGGTATAACTATATCTAAAAATTTACACTATACATCTTGGTTTTTGACTTTTGTATTAAAACAACAACAAAATGAAAAAGTAGATATTGAATGGGCCGTATCAGAAAATAGCATGGCCCGTTCTACCACGAGAACCAAACTAACGTAATTTCTTTATGTAAAGATTGATACGAACAAAGGCCCATACACACTGATTTGGTCCAGCCTGAAGCAGGTAAAGCCTTAAAAGTAATTTACCTAGCAATGAAACAGACACAGTGACGACTGACGGACTTGTCTGCGTATCCTAAGCCTTTAGGTGTCCGAAAATGAAACTAAACTTGTGAACTACTCTACTCTGTCAACCTTCCTAAATTTAGTGTATTCTTGCAGCTGTTTCTCACCCACGTGCTCACTCTTCTTCGCGCATGTCAAACTTCTTCTTTTTTTGTGTGGAAATAAATGTTCAGTTTTCACATTTTTTTAATTTCTATCCTAAATGATTAATAGTTTGTTTATTTAACTAAAAATTTGGGAGTTTTACATCAATGTGAGTTCTTGGAGCTTTTCTATTGTGATTTCAACCATATGAAAAAACAATACATTTTCTGTCCGGAAAGAGAACAAGTAAAGCAGCAGTTACTAAACAACATTTCGAGTAAATCAAAACCAACAGTTTTCTTGGGCCAAGTTGCCTTTGACCCAAGTCTCTTCCATTTTTCTGATTTCTCATTTACCCACATAGAACTTTACGATGAGAGGGACAACGGAAGAAGAAGACGGATTCACGAGTTTCTCTGATGTTCTGATGCTGTCTGATGATGTCCTTAACTCCGGAGACGTTGGAGAAGACGGCTCCGGATTCACCGGAAACGAGACTTCTCAAGTGCTCTCTTTCGGCGGAGGAAACCAAAACGACGCCGAATTGCTCTTCTCACAACCCTCTTTCTCTCCCGCTTCTCCTCTTTCTTCACGCACTAACGCTTTTGCGGTCGATGATAAATCTTGTATATGCAATGTAAGTTATATATAAAAAAACATTCCTATAGTTAATACTTAATATTACTTGTAAATTTAGTGAGGCTTTAAGGGTCAATTAGTGATTGTTTTCCTTGATTAAAAAGTACACAGTATAAATTATAAAACCACAATAAAATTTATATCTTTGTTTAAGATTAAAGAAAAAGGATAATCAATCAGATTTATTTGCATCATTGCATGCAACAACACAAGATCCCTTCTTTTTTTTCGGGTCTAATAACTCAAGATCCTTATGATCAGGCCCGGCCCGCCACCAATTTTAATGAAACAAAAGTATTGGGCCTCCAGAATTTTTGAAATTTTTAGTATCAAAATGAGGCCCCAAAAAGATCTATTATTTCAAAATATAGGCCTCATTTTTCTAAACTTTTCAGATTTAGTCTCAACTTTTAAGTTTTATCTATTTTTTATTGCAAAATAGGCCCCATTTTTTTATAAAGTTTTTAGATTTGATCCCAAATTTTCATATTTTTCTACAAAATCCATCGAAATTTTTTGTTTTGTATCGGGCCCCATATTTTACAGGGCCGGTACTGCTTATGATGTACTATATATATATTGGTTTCATGTTTGTCTCTTTCGTAGAAGAAGAAAACCAGTTCGGGTGATGAGCACGACCGGGTCTGCGATCCAAAACCCGGTAAGAGATGCAAGCGAGATCAGACGAAGTCATCGGTTGGAAATGTTAAGGTTTGGCTTAAAAGTTATCTATAAATAGTGTGTATATTTATGTATAATTATCTAATGGATTTAGCTATTTGGATGAATACATAATATATAGTAACTAACAAATGCTATTCATAAAAATAGGTCAAGAAAGAAAAGGTTGGTGAAAGAATCACAGCATTGCAGCAGTTGGTTTCGCCATATGGCAAGGTGGATCATTGTACTAAAACAAGTTACCTTCTCTCTTCATTTGTGGTTCTTGTATCTCTTATCAACATAATATTGATCTAATATCAAAACCTTGAATTTAGGTGATTAAAATTAGTTTACTTTCTACATTTTAATTAGAAGATGTAATTTGGAAAACTTGAATAGACAGATACAGCATCAGTGTTGCATGACACAATGGGTTACATAAAATTCTTACAAGACCAAGTTCAAGTTCTTTCAACCCCTTACTTCAAACATAACCGGCCTCTTGTAAGTCATCCATCATCCTTTTGTATTCTCTTATTTATTTATCTTTTGTTATACTTTTTTATGGTATCCTCTTTTTTTTTTTTTGTTACACTTTATCAATAAAACCAGAAGATATTTATTTTTCCATGATTCAAAACGGCTGTTTTAAGACTTAAAAGATGACTATTTTGACGGTTTTGTGACTGATGAATAGTTGATGTGTCGTCAGGACGACAAAGACACCGGAGGAGTAAACCCGACGATGAAAGTGAAAGAGTTGAGAAGCAATGGTTTATGTCTTGTTCCACTAGCTTGGACCGTACACGTGGCGAATACTAACGGTGCTGATTTATGGTCCTCTGCTATCTTGTCACCAGTCACACCAACAGTGAACCAGTAGAGACTGTGAAGTTAAATCTTGTAAAGATAAGTAGATAACCTTCAAAAGTGAAAATCTTTCTTAAGTTTCATTATTATTAGAGTATTATTATAACAAAAAATGCATTTGAATACTATCATCACCACCACAAACCACTAAATTACACATCCATGTGATATAAAATTTAATATTATTACACACACGTAAAGAAAGGACAAAAATTTGTGTTTCTTTTATTTTTTTTAACACTCCATTTTTATTATTGCATTGTGATATTTTTCTTGGCAATTAACTCCAAGATTAAAACAAGACTTTCAAGAATTTCAGCAGAAGAACATTGTCTTAGCTTTGATGTTGAATTGCTGAAACAACTTCACCAATACTCTTAAACTTTCTCCTTTCCTTGAGAAGCATCTTCGCAAACTCGAGCGCACTTTTCTCGCAAATCGCTCGTCGCTTATCTTCTTCGATCGATTCAAAGTCCTCAACATGTGACACTCCCACAATTCTCCTATCATATTAAACCAACACTGTCAACAACTTTTCCGAGTTTATATGATCAACAAAGAAATCTCGTGGTCTAACATTCTCTCACCTAATCATCTTTGCAGCGCCGAATCCGAGTGAGTCATGCAACAAATTCCACATGTAGTTTTCTTGAACAAGCTGCAAAACCTCGGCATTGTTATAGATATCTGCAAGGTATGCTTCGCCAGGTCCATCTTTGTTTTGATCCCATAGCGCAATGAACCTTTTGTTAAACAAATTCCAAGTTTGCTCAATGGTTCTCAAGATCCACTGCTTGTATTCCTGAAATATAGAATTAGGTTGGTTTAAACTGATGTACTTGCAACCGTGTAGACGATTAGAAGATAGAAAAAAATGCATATCAGAATTCTGAGTATGTTGCTTACTTTTCGATCATTTCCCTGAGCGGCATGTCCATCTTGTGCAAAGAAAGCTAGTATCAAGTTACCAAGATAAGCTCCAATATCGAAACCCATCGGTCCAATAAACGAAAACTCTGGATCTATAACTTGTGTTGAATCTTGAGTAACCATGACAGAACCAGTGTGAAGATCACCATGTATTAGAGCTTGAGCTCTTTCACAGAACCTAACAACATAATACACAATGGTGGTTCAGAGATATTAGCAAATCCTAGCAGAAATAACCGGGAAATGGGCAAACACATACATCGATTTTAGCTCTGCGATTTCGAGCTTCAAGGCACTGTCTTCGCGCACAGCCTTAGCATCATCATCAAGATAAGGTGAAGTCCAACGATTAAATGTAGAAACTCTATACGGGTCCGAAAACACAACTTGCTCCGTTAATCGGCATAACTCCACATTACCACAAAATTCAGTTACTACACAAACACAAAAGACACTCACTACATGGAACACCAAAACGTTGACTAGTAATTAAAATGAATATGTGAAGAGTTAAGAACCTGCTCTTCTGTGCTCTGTGGTATCATGATAGAGTAGCGAAGTGAAGAAGAGAGTCTTCGCCATGTAATCAGACATGTGGTCTGCAAGGAAAGGATACTCAATCCCAGCAATGAGTCCTTTACGGAGAATGATATGAGGAGGCTCGAGGTATCTCATTCCGATCAACGCCATTGTTCTGTCAAAATGGTAGACTTCAGGAACATGATCCGGTGATAAATTTCCATGCTTTCTCAAAGTTGTTGCTTCAAAATAAGCTCTTTCTTTCGTCATTGGCCACGATTCACCGATACAGCGAATATATGGAAGTGCCTGTACATTTAAACGCTTGAAAAATCAAAGCTTTTCTAGTTTACATGAAGTCAGAGACATCAAAGTTTGTTCCTTTTATCCCCAAGATCAGAGCACTAGGAGAGTAAAGCACAAATCTTGAATTGTGAAGACAAATTGAATAATTTCGAGTCACAATATCTTCAAAATAAAGTCAAAGATAACTAATTTGCAGACAACAGAGACATATAGATTGAATCTAAAACACACATCCGATAAACCCTAATTCCTAATCCATAGATACTTTCCAACTAAAACAAAGAGATATGAATCTGTTATGCTTAGATGATGAATAGAGAAGCGAACCTGTTTGATGACAAGAGAACCAGAGGATCCGACAACGATGAAAACGAAATTGAGATTACCATCTCCAACTTCTTTGATAACCAAATCATCGGACTTGTCGGCTCCGATCTTGGAAGAGAGAGCAGGCGTTGCCTTTATGTAGTCTACAAGAGACTTCTCGTTTAACGGCGTAAACTCCTCAAAAGACATCTCTGCTTCAGTTTCAAGCTGCGTGGAGACTGGAGAGAGATAAAGTCCGAGTTTTAAAGGTTCGATTTTTGCAAAAGATTCTTCTTTTAGTTTTGTTTCATATCAGTGGCCAATGAAACGGCAACACTCACGCCTTCTATTATTCGACAATAATCTCGTTAGTGTTTAGCCAACTAAATTAGATAATTTTGGTTTATTAATCCAAATCAAATAAACACACACCTAAATATTGGTTCAGTTTTGTTCAGGTTTTCTCGTTAAGAACTTAAAATCGTTTTTTTTTTTTAAACAACTTGCATTATTTGAGTCTGAACCCATAAGCCATATGATAAGCTTTTGGTACAAATTTTCAGAATAAATATCATAATCAAGAGAAAAAGGTATGTCAATACTAAATTTTCAATTGAATAGAAAAAATTGATATTTGAAAAGATTTCATTTTAGTGTTGACTGAAAAAAGAAAAGATTTAATTTTAGCTTTAAAAATATAAAAATATGATGATAACAAATTTATTGGTTCTTTTTTACATATACTTTAATATATTAATATATAAAATTTGATTTACATCTATATTTTTGGATATTTGTTCTTGCTTTAGTTAAATAAACTATTTATTAAAAGCTAAAATTAAAAAATTAGTAAACAACTGACATGTCAAATTTTTTGTTGAAGAAATCTAATCAATCTTCTCCATAACTTTGCCTTTAAGAATATATAATATAGAGAAACATACAACATAAAGATTCAGAAAACTATTTTGTAGCTATTTTAATACAACATCATGAGACAAAATATTGTTATGGCATTGTTGTTTGGAATAGGATATGTGTTGATCATCTTCGAGGAGTGTTTATCTTTTAGTAAAAGCGGAATAGCTCTTTTGATGGCCGTCAGTTTGTGGGTTGTGCGAAGCATCGAGGTAGAAATTCATAGTAAATATGATTTTCATTTTACATTTGGTTTCACCTCTCTTGTTAATGATCAGATGAAGTGTACTTATAACAAAAATAGCTCTAAAGTTATGTAATTAATAATGTTGTGTAATCTCTTGATTACAGACTTCTCTAGAAATTGTTACTTTAGAGCTTCAACAAGCAACAAGTGAAGTTAGTCAAATAGTGTTCTATATGCTCGGCGCAATGACTATTGTGGAGATAATTGATGCTCATCAAGGATTTAAGCTGGTTACAGATTGTATAACATCTAGGAAACCGAAGATACTTTTATGGATGGTATTGTTATTTCATTTCTGCTTTTAAAGGTTTTTTTTTGCTTTCAAGCTTTTTCTTTGAGGATTTAAGTTTTCTTCTTTGCTCTTTCTCTCGCACTATCTTCGCTTTAGATTTATGGCTCTCTTTTCAGATTGGTTTTGCGACCTTTTTCCTCAGCTCGGTTCTTGACAACCTAACAACTACTATTGTTATGGTTTCGCTACTGAGAAGACTAGTTCCTCCATCAGAATACCGCAAGTACGAAAATTTAATATTTGGACCTTTTTGTTTGTGTTTTTAGTTAAGGCTTTAAGCTGCTCCCAGTGAGGAAATATATTGGTCTCTATAGTGAATCTCAAAGAAACACCAAATAGTGACATTCAATTTATAGAGAGATTCTATATTTTCTGTAGTATAATATCATCCCTAATTTTTTTTTCTCCTTTTATATGGAACAATGTGATGTAGTAGTAACGTTAGTATGTATGTTCATTACAATTTATGGCAAGGCTTTTAGGAGCAGTTGTGGTTATAGCAGCAAATGCAGGAGGAGCTTGGACTCCTATTGGTGATGTTACTACAACTATGCTATGGATAAATGGCCATATATCAACATTTTCGACTATAAAGGTTCTTCTTTTCAAGTTTCAATTCAAATTAGTTAACTAAAGAGCTTGAATGTGCAAATGATGGAGATTTTACTTTCTTCTTTATTAGAACCTTTTTTTACCTTCAGCGATTTCTCTTGTTGTTCCAATGGCTCTCATGTCATTGACCAGGTTATAAACTCTTCTTGAATCCTTGAAGGTTTCAACTTTTTCTTCTAATGTTTCCATTGTAGAGGCTGATGTGACTTTCATTTATTTTTCGTCTTTCTCAGTGAGGTAAATGGAATGGGGCTAAATACCCCTCCTACACCATTATTAGCTTATGATGATCATATTGCTCCAAGAGGAAAACTTGTATTTGGAGTTGGTTTCGGAGCTTTGCTTTTTGTCCCACTATTTAAGTCATTAACCGGATTGCCTCCTTACATGGGTATCTTGTTGGGTCTTGGAGTCATTTGGATTTTGACAGATGTCATCCATTATGATGACTTAGAGAGACAAAACCTAAAACTTCCACATGCTTTGTCTCGGATTGATTCACAAGGAGCTTTGTTTTTCCTTGGGATTTTGTTAGCTATGAGCAGGTAATCAAACTCTGGACCAAACCTAGCTAGTAACTTTTCTTTTTCTTTGATAGCTTGAAATTGCATAATCTTGCAATTTCTTTTTTTCGTCATAAACTTGCCATTTAAGGGATTCACACTGGCCAATCATAATTGTAATCGCAATGGGAAGACTTACCATGGTCCCACAAACCCAAGATGTTCATTATAACCACTAGACCACCATGAATTGGTTTCGACAACATGTAACATTTGTTATGCGCAAGATCTTGATATTGTTGTTGCATATTTTTCAGTCTTGATGCGGCTGGGATTCTCAAAGTGATTGCGAACTATCTTGATGCTCATATAGCCAATGTTGAACTGATAGCAAGTATTATTGGTGTTGTATCAGCCATCATAGATAATGTCCCATTGGTTGCGGCAACAATGGGGATGTATGATCTCTCAAGATTCCCTCAAGATTCTGAGTTTTGGCAACTCATTTCATTTTGCGCTGGAACAGGCGGTTCCATGCTTATTACTGGATCTGCTGCTGGAGTAGCCTTCATGAGTATGGAGAAAGTCAATTTCTTTTGGTATTTTCGTAAGGTGAGACTGAGATTACCACTTTGGCTCAGTTCAACATAACAAACAAGATCAACAAATCGATAACAAAAGTTCGTTTTTATTTTCTCTTATCTTTTCCATGCAGGTGAGTGGTTTTGCTTTTGCCGGTTTTACTGCTGGTATAGTGACTTACCTCGCGGTTCACAATCTCCCTCTTTAACTTATAACAACCATAGTTTATATCCCTTTGCTCACTTATTCATAGGCTACATGCACAAACATCAAGAGGTGTACTAAAGTAGTAATTATGTATGAACTGTGTAGTGATCCAGCAACCTTGATACCTGATTTTTTTTTTGTCACTTCTCCATTTTGAAAGAAAATTTTCTAAACTTAAAACTTTTGATCAGATTCACTCTACAACACAATTCACTTATATTATTGTTTAAGGTCAGTGTTGTAATTTAGATTTTGGAACTCTTTTGTATTATTAATTATGATATTTGGTGCAATCTAAAAATGCTGCCAACCTCAAGTAAGGTAGGTTCATGTACCTCAAGTAAGGTAGATTATGAAAGAAATTCTTTAGTTTGAAAGTAATGGAATCTTACCTAAAAAAGCTGTGAACCTCAAGTAAGGTAGGTTCATGTACAAATCTCATGTAAAGCTACATATACTGTTTAAAGTCAAGAAACCATAATTCTAATTCCTTTTGTTATAAAATCTTACTATTTCCACAAATTACAAAACTTTAGTTAAAGTAGTTACAAGTGTGAGGTTTCGAGCGCAAAGTCTCAATGCTCCCAAGTCACGCGACAATGATACTATGAATGGAATATCATAGTGAATAGTATAAACTATTTGATGGCTAGGACAATAGTCAAAGTCCTTAATCCCGGATTTGCATATGGCAAAATAATTATGTGATTTTGCAGATTATATATATATTTTTTTTGAATAACCGCGAGTCTCCCAAAGGCTTCCTAGGCCCAAAGACTAATCCGACGAGGCTGGCAATTCCCCTATGTAAACCTGCCAGATTATATTGCCAATCACATTTCAATAAAATGCAAAAACTTATTTACGAATTTTAGTTGAATCAAGATTTTTTTCAAATGGTTGGGTCATCAGTCCACCTTTTCCCCACAAATTCGTTAAAATCCAATATATATATTATATATAATGTCAATTCTCTCTTTTGGAGCCAAACTCAATTTACGTGAGCCAAACTCAATTTACGTGAATATCTCATTCTTGAAATTTGAGGAGGTGGCGGCAAATCAACAGTACCAAAAAAAAACAAAGAAAAAAAAAGTTATATATGCACTATTGATATTCTTTTTTATCCCCACACTCATCATCATTCTTATACACTATAAATACTCTCAAAGCCTATAACTTTATCATGATCATCATATTAACTACATATCGATATATTCATAAATTCGTTTTACGTACTACACAAATCATTTCATCATGGTGATGATGGCTAAGAACCTTACCAAGTTCTATGTAGCGTTTCTCGTTGTTCTGATAATGGTGGGATCGGTGTTACTAGCCATTGAAGGACGACCGGTCAAGGATGGTTCGAGATCGTTGACACAATTGAGAGATTCATCTGTGTTTAATGGAAGCGTAATGTCTTCGTTTAAACCAGTCGAGTCTTCTGTACAAGATTTGTCGTGGTTAGCCACAGTAAAACAGTCCGGGCCAAGCCCAGGGATTGGGCATCATCGAGCCAAGGGCTACAAAATGTTTGGACGAGCCAAAGATTCTGGTCCTAGTCCTGGTGTTGGACACTAGAATAACAAACCTCGTGAATTGAAATTATAGATAATGCAGATGTAACAACTTTACCATGTTTAATAGCCTCTAAGATGTAATCTTTTTTCCATTGTTTATGTTTTATTTCCTTTACTTCACAATCACATGTCTTTACATAAATCATAATAATCAGTTAATCAAAGTCTTACTTTAAGATACATAAGGAGACTTTAGGTCGATAAATCCGAGGAATTGATCAAGTTTTTGAGTGGTAGAGTCCGTCTTAAAGATGTGCAAAAGAAAAGGGTCCCGAACCAGCCCATGACCCTCGTTTTTAACAAAGCGGAGTTACAAATTTTTTAGAAATCCGATCCCCTAGGCGTTAATTGGTGGTGTTTAGAGATAGTCTAGTAAGTATCAATTAATCTACATATACATGTTTATGAAACGTATGCATTAAGTTGTAAAACATGTTTCTTTCTCTTTTTTGAATATAATTTAACATCTATTCAAAAAAAAAAAAAAGATAGATCAATAATTTAATCGACATATACTAATCGGCGGTCTAGACCAAAACTATTATTGGCTTTCCATGAACCAATATTTTTAGCAATTTGGACAATATCGGAACCCACGGCCGATATTTGTCAAAACTTAAAACGGAGGACAAACTCATGATTGCAAAATGGTCACGTGAATGTGACATTATGAGTTAGCAAATGGTGGGATGAAGTTTATGTAAAAGGAGATGACCTTAATTCTTTTAGGCCCCATGGAAAAAAAGGAAAAGTATTACCCATATTTGTTCTTGACGCCACAGGCCACACTATAAATTCATAACTCATAAGCATTCTTTTTCTATTCAGGGCTAATCAACGAAACCATTACATATGGGCTTATTTGGGTGAATAATGAGTTTTTCAATATAAAAATCTGTTGGGATTAATTATCTCAAGTCTTTCAATATAAGAGATTTAAAACATTTCACTTTTTGAATAACACATAATCTTTAGTGAATAGGCTTTTCTTTAATTGAATAACATTAAACTTTGAATCTATTAAATATGATTTATTAACATAAAATCTAATAGTTTAATTTCTCGAAATCATCTTTAACCGAACCCAATAGTTTTTTCTCAGAAAATTTTGTTTCGTCGTTATAAATTTCTAACATAAACGCTATCTGAAATATTGTGACAATGAAGAAAATATAAATAGTTAATATAGATGTAATATCAAAATATAGACCGTTGATTCCCCAAACAGATCCCAAAGTGGCTATCCATAAAATACAGCCAGGCCCAAGCCCATCAATGCCATATTTCAATTGAGCCAATGAGATTGTAGCGATGATGACACTTAACGTAAGGAAGAAAATATCCCATCTTTGCCATGCATAAGAGTTGCAAAACATAGTTACGCTCACCATTAATGACATGATGGCGAGAAAGATTTTACGGCCTTTGAATGTAGTGTGTGGTGGATATAAGGGACCAGAACTAGAAGTCAATTCAAAAACGTATATATACATTAAGAAGAATCCAAAGTATCTGAGTATCAAATAGCTGAAACTCATGTCTTCTTTGTACAAAACCACATTATCCCATCCTCTTGCGACGCCGTAGATCGATAAAATTGCCCACTTGAGCAATAGTAATTGTGTGAATGGATCATTTACGCCCAAAATTATTGTTCTTTTGGCCACACTTTTATCAGAAGGATTCAACATTGTTTTTTCAATGGGCATATAAATTTTTATCTTTTTTATTATTTCTTTTGAAAAGTCTAGAAAATGAAGATGAAAAAAAGCTTGGTTTACTGATTTTTTTCTTCTCAAACGCTAATTACTTACTTATTTTATAAACAAGAGAAAGAACAAAAGTTTTATCATTTGGATCATGGATAGAAATTTCATTTGTCAAATCTCTAAGCATTAAAATGCAATATCTTGAAAAGTAATTTTTTTAATAAATGGAACAAATGATGTGTCACATTTATCCTAAAAAAACAGTCTATGTATTTGTGTTTTAGTTATTAAAATTGATTTAATTGATAATCTTGAGATAAGATTTTAAGGTTTTTATTAATCTTCAATTAGGGGTAAGTCTGTTGCTGTCTCGCCACTTGTTCTTTGAGTTTTGTAGACTTATTACAACTTAGATTGGTTTTGGTTTAATGAATGTTTGTCCGGTTTGGTTTGGTTCAGTTTTGGGTTTCATGTCTACCCTTAATTAGTACAGATGTACTAGAGAAATTTTCTTTTCTAGCTAGCTAAACAATTTTCTAAAATGCAGTAAATTCGTCAACTTTGAATGGTTACTTTATTTTTCAGCTACGTGGGGTTAAACCCTGCAAAGGTTGCCAGACAAGGAATTGAAAAGTTCGGGAAGGAGAAACGTGATCTCATAATTGTTGACACCAATAGTCGCCATAATCACTACACTTCATTGTTTGAAGAAATGAGCCAAATTGCGAAAATAATGGTGTGTTTTCATGCTTGGTCTCTTTTTTTTTTTTTTTCGTTAGGTGCTAACAAACATGATTCTTTTTCGTCTTAACAGAAACCAGATCTTGTTGTATTAGTAATGGATAGTCGTATTGGTCAAGCTGCATATGTTCAAGCTCAAGCATTCAAGGAAAGTTTCCATGATGGATCTGTCATTCTCACTAACATAAGAGGTAACACAAAGGCCACTAGTGCTCTCGGCTCGTTAGTTTCCCAACATTACATTTTTTCTAATTATATAACAAAAATCTTGTGATGTGTTTTCATAGACTTGAATCTGAAAACTAGATGTTAATTGTTTTGTTTTTTCCCCTTATGTTGTCAAGTGTCGCAGCGGCGAAGTGTCCCATTTTCTTGACCGAAACAGGAGAGAAGGACAAGATGTTTAAAGAATTTGATGTTAAACATTTTGTAACGAGGCTCTCATGTAAGAAACTTCCCCAGAAGCTTGAGGTGATGGGTTCGATGAATGATGATCTGCAGCGTCTGATGAGGAGAGGCCTCATGGGTCTATTTTTGGGTTTATTGTTTTGGTTTTTTCGTCGGCATGATCTTTCCATTTAAATAATTATCAGACTAATAAGATCATCCCATAGTATTAGGCCTCTAAGAGCACTTCCAACGGAGTGTCTCAGGAATTAAAAAAAGAAAAAATAATTAAAAGTAAGAGAGAGAATGAGACACATTGTCTCATTTGAGAAACTGTGAGACACTGTGTCTAACACTTGCCATCATTTGATTGGTTAAAGTTTTTTTTAATTAATTAAAATTTAAACAAATAATTTATTTATTACAAAAGCATTAAATTATTATATTTGAGAAACTTTTATAGCATCTCCAATGGTTGTCTGTGCGTGTCTAATTTATGTCTTTAGTCTGGAATATAAAATCTAAACAATTAATCTTGTATCTTTTTCTATGAAAAGAGGAAAAAAAATACAAAAACAGTTTTTAGAAAACAAAAAATAATAAAGAAGACTTGTGATTATCACTTATGGCAAGAATCTCTCCAGATTTTTTTGCATAAATCAAATATTTAAAATTTAAAATATATCTCTATATTTTTCTTCCCTTAAAATGTATTTTTACATATCTGTAGACTTCAGTGGTGGGTGATGAAGATTCTCTTTTCTTCTTTAATTGGCTAATTGAGTTATTCTCTTTTCAATGACGATAACATAACTAATTGCTAAATATTGTTTCTACTAGATCATGACCCGTGCTATACAGCACGGGATTTAATATTTTGTGTAAATCAAATTGTATATTTTGTTTGAAGAATTAAATAATAATATAATATAATAGTATAGTATAAAAGGGAATATATCATAATATTTTATTTTTATTATTATTTGGATATAATGTTGTATATTTCATTTGACGATGGTTGTATATTTTGTTTGTAGAACTAAATAATAATATAGATAATAAATTTTAAATCTATATTCCATATCATATTGGACTATTTTATTATAGGAATTAAATATTGTTTTAATCTAACTTGGTTGAAAAACATGACTTGGTAATAAAGAAAGAGAGAATATTGTATTGTATATAAAATATATTTAGCTGCATTAAAATTCTATTTTTGTTTATATGAGATGAACAATTTATTTGGTTCAATTAGGTATTCATAATTGAATTGTGTCATTGAGAACGAAAAAAAATATTTGTATTGTGTTGAAGTTTTTACGTGGGCTCTATTGGGATTTGTTTGCTCAGTTCTAACTGTATTTGGCCCAGTATCACCAGATTTTACCTTGCGGTATTCCTCGGGTTGATTTATTTAACTTAAAAATTAATTTTTTTTTTGTATTTTTAATATTATTTATTTTGTTAAGTATTTAAGATTATTTTGATTATTAATTTTAGGATTTCACCCGTCATATATATATTGTCCTGTATTAATATCGACACAAACCCGTCCCACCATATAACTCCGTTCCGTGAAATTAAACATCATTTTGTTATTTTTCTTTTTAATAATACTTTTATTTAAAATACATATAATTTGAGTCAATTTAAAAGTTTGCTTTTAAATTGTTTCCATAATATATATATATATATTTTTAAATTTTATAGAGTCCAAATATTATTAATATTATACTTTTTATAGAATTTAAATATCATAAATACTTTAACCGTTTGACCCATTGACCCGTTTTTTAATGAATTGATTAATATTAGTGACATGAATTAAAATGATTATGATTAGAGATCTATAATGGCAAATATTATAATTTCTTACAAAATCATAATGGATGTACTTCCTAAATAATATTATAGGATGTAAATAATTAGATTATATAATGAGATTAAATATTGAATAAGAATTTGCTAGTTATAAACTCGATCTCTCAAAAAAAAAAAAAAAAAATCTCATTATTTGTTTAAAAGTATGATAATAAAAAAAAAACTCACTGTTCATCTTCTCAGATCATTTGCATGCTCTCCTAGTTCAGTAGTATATGACTTCTAGAATGAATAAGTCTTGAATCGGATGCAACAGCCGGTTTTGAAAATCTTCACATCTATAAGGTAAGTGAAATCAAATTGTCAACAATTTTAATGAGATGTTTTTCTGAATTTTTAAAAAGTAATATGATTTATTAACATAATTAGAGTATGATTTTCTGAATTTAAAAAAGTAAACTGATTTATTACAAAAAAGTATACTACAAAATATTCACGTTTAAGGATAAAGTATAT